ATGGGGCAGCAGGAAAGCAGGGTCAGCCACACACTCTGCAGCTGCTTTGGTTTGCCCAGCCTGTAGCCAAGGAAATTAGGGAAAAGAACTGAAAGTACTGGGAGTGATGGGAAAGGATGAATTTGTGATTGGATGCAGCGTAGAGGGTGTGTGAGAGGGGTCTGTGGCAGCTACGTGCTGGGTCACACCATCCATGCCTTACTGTCCACGGGGAACTCAGCTGAATGCCTTCCCACAGAACTTCCTGTGTGCCACCAGGGAAGCACTACAGTGTATTCTACTGCTCATGGACTAGGGAAAAGCCCTGCATGCCAATCAGTGCCAACAAATTACCAAGGCATCGGTAGTCAGTCTCCACCATGCTGAACACTCCTCCCCAGAATCTATCTACAGCAAATCCATGTTTCTTGTCCTTGAGTTTAGAAAAGCAGCATATTCATACTTAAAACTGCTTCTGAGGAGGAAGCTTCCTTGGAGACAGCCTAACTTTTAAAAAACAAAACTAAAAATGGGTAAGACACAGGCTTAAGGAAATGTTTGTTGTGTGTCCAGAACACTGACATCCTGACCACTCCTTTTTTTTTTTTTTTTTTTTTTTTAATTTTTATTTTATAAATTATGTGTCTGGCTATTGAAGTACTGTAGATAGAAGGGGTTCTGCGGAGTACAAAGTGAAATTTGGGCTGCTATTCCCAAATTAGGCTGGATGAGAATTTCCTACAAATGAGGGAGCTCAAAATGTTACAGGGATTTCTTGCCAAATTTCTGATCCCCACCTTAAAATTTCTCTCCCAGCAATCACGAGATGATGAAGCAAGCTCCATAATACATTAGTTTTCTCCTAAGGCCAGAAGGAATTGTTCTTTCCTTTGCTCAGAGGTAACAAACCAGCACTATGTTTCCCAGTGCCACTATGGTCTAAACTAATGCCAGCACCATCATAAATCCTGTCCTGTCGTCAGTTCCATTTCAACACAATCTGAAAGGACATAACCATTTTTTTGTTACCATAAAGTGAAAGAAAAACCACACTTCTATGACAGGAAAAAAAAAAATCTTGGAATCATGTCATAGCAGAGATGGAAGAACATGGAAAAAGAGCTAAGAACTGAAATTTCTATTATGGTATAAAATAAATAAGTTTTCCATTTTCTGCTGATGACCAGACATGAAAGGTATGCAGCAGCACTGCATGTCGGGGACATTCTTCTTAGTGAGGGACAAGTATTTGCCTACATCCACAAGCTGCCAATTCAAGGGTTCAAAACATTTTGGGCTAAAGGAGGTACATGAGGAGGGACCTGCTGATGGACATGCTGAGAGGCTTCCTTGGTCAGCTGGGGTTTTCTGAAATGCAGGAATCCCAGCCAGATCAGCACTGCAGGACTTGATGCAACAAGGAAAAAGCTGTAATAAAAGATCAGTTAGATGTTGCAGTGACCTTGACATATATGGATGGAAGGAAAGACTTCAGAAACAGAGACCAGGATCCAGGTTAAGCCCAGGCTTGGTGCAGCTCATGTGGAGAAGCTTACTCCTGCCTCTCCTCCCCTCCCCTCCACAACACAGCACAGTACTGGTCACCTCATTCTCCAGCCATCTTTATTTCAATAATATGGCAAAATGAAGATACTCTTTCCTTGCATACCTGTGCTGTTTTGCTTTCTGGCTTCCTTCAAAGCACCACAGTAGCTGCACAAATCCTGCACTGAGTGTTCTGTTTTTTCCCTTCACACAAGGTTTGTGGAGCCCAGCAGGCCTCTGTGATAGACCCAGTATTATCCAGTTCTCTACAGTTTTATAGGAAGGACCATCTGGTGGTCAGCTGCCCAAGTGCACATTTGCTGCCTCCTGCACCTGTTCAGTGTCATTCAGCCTCTCTCTGACAGTTGCTCTCCCATCAGAGGTCTTCCTGAGTGCAGGGATGAGAGGATGCAGCACATCTCCTGAAACAGTGGCAGGTACAGACACCTTTTTGAGATTTTTGTTCTTAAGGAGGAATAAATCCCATTTTATCTTCAAAACGGAGATGACAATAGGACCAGAAGGTAACCACCTGGCTCTCTGAGCCCTTTTACTCAAATCTCTCTGCCACTTCTCTGTATTGATGCCTGCAGTCATTCATAGGTGAGCCTGCAATGTTCCTACCAGTCAGATGTGTACTACTTTAGCATGGTATTTCTCTGTGCAAACTAAGACTTGAAACCATAAAAGCTTGCTTAGGGACTGTCCTGACATACCAGAATGTCCTGACTGGACAGACTGGACCACAGCCATGTGCTCTGAAAAAAGCTGAATAATGTAACCTAACAGCTAAGTGACTATCACAGACCTTGAAATTAGTCCGGGTTTAAACTCCTGAAAATTTAAAACTTTCAGGGAGACTGATGTTACTTCTTAGAGACATCTTTCTCCCTCTTTGCATCTTTGTCTTCCTACAAAATCTAGATTTTGACAGAATAATTAACTTAAATTTGAAACTTCAAATGCAACTGGAGAAGTTCCAGTTATCTTTTTTGACTGTAGGTAAGATCTTCACATACAAAAATTCCCCATATTATCAAAAGATTTCCTTCAAAGAAAGGAAGCAGAACCACCTGCAATTTGTTATTAATGCTATTATGTGCCCTGTTACAACTACAGAGAAACAAAGAGTACAACCTATCAAAAAAAACACTTCAAGGATGGTAAAAAGTAAAAGTGAAATTAAATAATATGCAATTTAATGATAAGAGAGCTGTAGCTGTAATTATCAGGCTTTAAAAAAAGCAGGGAGAATGAAACAATATGTCTGCGAGACTAAACAGCTACTGCAGTCCTGTCTGAACAAAATCATCTGTGAAAAAATCTGTCTCAAGATCACACATACACACTGCAGAACGTGTAAGTGAAAACTCTGGGGTAAAATGTAAACCAAAAGCAGGATACTCCCTGAGCTAAGCAACACTTGCTTGTCTGTCTTTTAAGACATGGTGAAATTTTCCCCAGCTTTCAAATGGTAGCTGGAAACACACCATCGTTTGTTCTTTAGCTTCTCACAAGGAAGTCACACAGAAAGGTTTGCTGAGCAAATATATGACTTTTTCCTAGTCTGCCAGGTCTATTTTGTTAGTAAGTCCATCTCAGCAGCAGGTCAGATAAGACTGCTTATTTGTTAGGTTGACGCACTTCACCCTTATTAGGGAAAACATCCCAACTAATTTGTAGGTTTGAGATTCTTGTTGTCAGCTGAATATAAGTTTATTCAGTGTTACCCTCCTGGCTGTTTCATGCTGTAGGCATTTGCTTGGGAGGTGGATAGGCAGAAGGAATTTAAAGAACTAGCTTCAGCCTTTTCCCTCTCATTTTAAGACAATGTGACTCCCTTTTAAAAGGTGTCTAAGAGCTATTCCTGGACATCCCCTTCAGTGCCACCAGTGTTTGGGAAGGGTGCAGGCAGCAAAAGCACTGCAGGTCCTGTTGCCTCACTGCAGCTCTCCCACTCTGAGGAAGTGAGTAGTTCACATTCAGGATCAGGGACACCCTGGCTTCCCTTGTCACCACCAGGGTGCTGACACCTAATGCATCTTGCTTAGGGCAGCTGTTTAGGCAGCCTTTAAAGTCAGTAGGGAGGATGCCCTTTAAACATCCTCATTCACCACCTGTAATGACAAACGCTCCCCATACTGAGACAAGACTACCTTTTAGAGGCATCTCCCTGAACTACAACTAAGAAGGAAGCACAGATGGCTACGTAAGTCACTGGAGTTTAAAACAACCAGTTAAGAGAGTGTAAGTAATAGTTCAATATCTGGCTTCTAGAATTAACCTGACCACCACTGCATAGCTCACTTGACTTTTGTCAGGGGCTACCATTTGAGAATTACAGCTGTGTTTTGATGGGCCATGGATGTCAGCTTTAATATAAATTACCATATTAAGTAAGGACCTTAAAAAGCTTCTTTGAACACTCTCACCCTAAAAATGGCAACATTAAGATATGTGGGGTTTTTTTAAAGGCACAAGGCTGTAGCTGACTGGGAGATTTAATGCCTGGAAAATGCATGTCAAACACTTTCTGCTGCAAGCTTTAATTGGCACTTCTAATGTTATTTGAGGGGAAAAAATTCCATTCTCACAGCAAAAAAATTGCAGAGAGATGCTGAGTATTTCTGAAGAAAATACATATGGTCAGTCATTCAGCAGCTTTGTTTCCAAAGGATGGGAGGCCAATATCTGCATTGCCCCTACACTTCAAAAGTCAGTAACTCCAACCTATTCTGAAAAGGTGTCAAGGAGAGACATTAAGAGAATTAAGCTCTTGAAAGCTCTGTGGAAATAAGTGGTGGGGAAAGCAGTCCAAATAACTCCTCTCAGGGAGAAAAGATGTGCAGAAAGATGCCCCTGGCCTAGTAGAGATAATGTCAAACAGGAACATAGAGAAAGATGCTCGATCTGCAGTGGGTGTCATTCATTCATAGACTTCAGAGCACTCATTTTTAACAGAGCTCTTTTCTCAGGATTTGCCATTTTGTAACTACGATTCAACTGCTACTGGGACACCCTTTCTGCCACAAAAGTGTTTTAGAAGATCACACATGACAATCCCTAAACAAGCAGAAGTTCTGCAGCTGAAAGAGGGAGTACAGCCATACCCACATTAGAATATAGCCTGCACATCTCAGCTGGTCTGATATGAGACACTGACCACCAGCTAAGCAAAGGTATTTTACATTGCATTTTACGAAAGCAAGAAAGTGACCACAAATATGCATGGTTTTGATCTCCATCAGCACATGGAAACACATTTCAAACAATTTCCTTCTGTTCTGATACCATGTTATACCTTGATACTCCATGAACAATTACAAAGACATAGAACTACTAAAACTGCTTCTTTTAAAAATGTTTTCTTCATTTTCCTGACATTTCAGAACAAGATGGCGTGGTGTTTTTTTCCATAAGAATACCAAAATAAGGGTCATAAAAAGGCATTTAATTTATCTGTCACTACAGACCACTGGAATTTGACATCATTTATTGCAGTCAACTGAAAATGCAGTAAAGATTTGTAACATTCTTTGGTGCTTTACAAACATATGCTACCATCACAGGTAACTTTACTATGATTCTAGTATGTATCCTGTGTTTCAATTTAATAAAATCAACAGTGAAATAAATGCTTTCTAAACAAGGCAATATATAGCAAATATTCAATATTTTCTTGAATTGTAAATTGAAAGTTCATGTATTTTGAAATAAAGTAATTATGGTGCAATCCTTCAAACAATAAAGACTTCATAATTTTAATAATATACCAAATGCATCTATGTCAAGTAGCAGAAACAAATTTAAAAGAGAAAATATACTGCAGAAATACAACGTACAGATTTTTATTAAAGAAAATGAAACACAGCAGCTAGCATCCTGCAGTACTACAAGAATTTGCTTACACACACAGAGCAATTTTCCTTTGTCTCACAGAAAATTAACAGAAAATGTTAGGATATAGCCCCTGCTGCTCTTCACTCTTTATATTAATAAGAAGAGCTAAAAAAAAAAATCAATCAGTATTTATGATAAAAGCATACCTATGGCTGATCTAATAGCTAATGCCCCAAGCCATTTTCTTACCCTAATGCTAAATTCCAATGAATTGCTAATAGTAATTATCTGGGAAGAGCAGGAAGACGGCTCCAAAAAAGTGCTGTAGTGCTGCTTTCCTACCTGCTGGCAGTGCAAGAAAACAAAGGGAAATGATCGTTTATATCCTAGAATATCATTGTATCATCTGTTACATTCAATCCCTGATCACTTTTGACAGGTACCACAAGATTTTGCAGCACCATAGGATTTTGTGCTTAACTGTTACTGGGTAAATGCCAGATTGCCAGACAATGTAAGAAAGACGCCCCTGGCATTCACTCTTTTGCTCTTGCATATTATTTTACTTATATGTTCAATTTCCTATGTCTTACTGACATTCCATAAACAAGTTAAGCAAATACTTGGTTACTGGCACCAGCCTGGGAGGTGGTAAAAAAGGCTTGAAGTTGCTCAAGACTGAAGTGGTATTCTCTATTTCCCATGCACCAATTCCTTTTCAGCTATTTATAACATGAGTTAACAACAGCCTTTTTATTTTAGGAAAAAAATATTCAATGAAAGGGCTGTCAAGCTTAAAACAGACTGCCCATGAAGTGGTTGAGTCACCATCCCTGGAGGTATTTAAAAGATGTGTAAATGTGGCACTCAAGAACATGATTTAGTGGCAGACTTGGCAGTGGTTGGACTTGATGATCTTAGGTCAGGTCTATAAAATAATTCTATATAAATCAAATAATTTCTAAAAATTTTTCTGTGATTCTGTTTTTTGAAGGAAAGCAAAATCTCTGCCTTTATGAGACACACTGTCCTATTGGTACAGATGCTAGCACTCTGAATTATCTTCAGAATCCAGGTACTTCATGGATACTGGCATGGAGTGTCTAGGACGTGCCTGAGCTCTGACAGGAAGGGCTGCCTGCCTGTGCCTCTGACAGCAGCAGTCATTACCTGCATCAAAGAAGACAAGCAGGGGCCTGGACAGTACTTGGTCAGCCCTTAATCACAAAGCTGAGGGAGACTGAAGATAAGCAACTGAAATGTAAGGAATATGATGGAATAGTGAGACCAGTTCTTCATATGCTAAATCAAAACAGTAAGTCTGCATCCAGGGAGGAATGTACCTGCAGTCGGCACTGAGAAAAGTAATTAGATTTGAAAATCAGGAATGCCAAGAAGTGCAACTAGGTAAACATTCATGTAGTGTGTGCTGGGAAGGGTAAAACCTGGTATGAGAAGATAATGAAGTAATGCAACAATCCATGGAGAAGATTTAGAATTTAAAAATAAAATAATTGCAGTATTTTACCGCTTCTTTGTGAACTAAGATGTTAAACCTATAAATAATGATGCAGAAAAGGCATCAGAAGCTTCCAACTAAAATTCCCACTTCCTATTTGAAAAGGTGGTGTATTGTGTAAGAAAGTATTTTCCAACACACCAGCAGATGAAAAGGCAAAACATTACTAGAAATAATTAACAAACTAAAGACAGCTGACCCAGCAGATGAAAAGGCAAAACATTACTAGAAATAATTAACAAACTAAAGACAGCTGACCTAGCCTAGCTTTAGGTAGCTATATGTCAATAAATTTTGAAAAGATCTGTCACTATACAGAAGGGAAACTACAATGAATCAGATATAAATACAAACCAAATTTCCAATATCCAAGCCATGCTGCAGAATTTAAAGGTTCGAAATCTAATTACCACTAATTAACACCTTTTATGAGAAACAGGTTTCTGTTAATTTATTTTTTCTTGTCAGTGAGGTATTTGGTTGATAAACCTGTATCTGAATAGGTTCAATATTTTTGTAGGGAATCATCACAGTGAGACAAACATCCAAACTCACAACTACAGTAAGACTGTGTCTCTAACATACACACTGGATACACAAACTCAAATTTCAACGAGGAGCTGCCTGCTGGCTGCCCGTCAAGTGAGTTCAGGGGATGCTGCTCAGATTTGTGACAATACCAACACACTTTAAAAGCTGGGCAAAGCCCACACCTTTCTCTGATTCTCTGACTAGAGAAGATCCATTTGTTCAGGATATCAGAAAGAACTTGCACAGAAATAGAGCACAACTTCACATTTCAATGATAACTTACTCTCATTAGTAAATACCCACACAAGTGGTAGATTTGCGCAATACTACTACTCTACTACAGTACTTATGACTAGGCAAATTCTTGAATGAAGAACCAAGCTCAGTCTGACTGATATTTAGTTTGATGCCAGATAACTTAGTTTTAACACTTGCAATATTAAATCACCTAGTGGAATTTGTCCCCTTTGACCATAAGGTTTCAGATAGTAAGGCTGTATTTTTCCCAAGCAGCATTTAGCCCATGTGCAAAAGGGCACGTCCACAAAAGAAATGATAATGCAAGTAGCATGAAGACGACAGATGATAAAGGACAGTGTTCTAGAAATGCAAACAGAGCACCTCTACACTACTTGCAATCAAGAGCAGACCCTCTCCAAAATTAAAGTCTCCACTTCCATTGTAGTACTTACAGTCCTCAGAGACAACACTATCCCTTCCCTACAACCAGGAAAAAACACCCAACCCACTGCAATAGGGACAGAGGGAAGGTTCTTCAGTAAAAGGGCTTTTACCACAGAACCACTGTGTGAAATCAGTGACCTACTGATCTCCTCAGAGTTGGTTCTACCATTGATGAATGGTCTCCAGGTTCACGAACTGAAAAGTTCTTTCAACACTTTTACAACACCACATAAATCTTTACATTCATGAACAAATACGAGCCCTTATACATCTCAGTAAGTGCCTGACTACCAGTTTCACATCACTAGACTTGCACAGTGTAAATAGTATTAAAGATCAGGCAGACATTGAGCCACTAACATCTCCATAATCTGAGCTGAAGCACTGTGTTTAATTACATTGCCTTATTAAGAAAATTCATCACATGAGAGAATGTGGTGGCATGACAGAAACAATAAGCTCCAGGTGAGATTTTTTATGTACATTATATTTTTCAGCAACTAGAAATATTTTATTAGCAATACAGTTATTTAAATATTAGAAATCTATACAACGTCCTTTTCTTTCCCAGTCTCCAAAACGTGTAGGTTCAGGGCCTCTGGGTCCACCCCTCTCTTTTGTAGTAGGATTGATTCCATCAGGGAATTCTAAAACAACAGGGAAAGTTCATTAAGATTTCTGTAATGTTGACAAATATAAAGATGCTATCATTTATGATGTTTTCCTTTTAGTTTCATTTTCAAAGACAAAATCAATTATTTTTTCTTTTGAAAGGCAACCTTGAGCTAAACATTTCCCAGAGCCCTACAAAATTATTTTCAGTTTTTTTGAGACCATATATATTATGTATATATACAAATATAGATATATTATTTATTATGCAAATAAAGAAGCAAGTGAATGTCCAGAGGCATTAAAGGACCACAGCTTCTCAAGTCAGAACTTGCATCACTCAGGTACACTGTATTTATGTTCACAAAATCTAAAACCCCAGGTATCACTTGCTGTTTACCTCTCTAATTTTAAGTACTCTGTTTTAATTTTAGCTTGAATTTTATTCAAGATTCTGTTAGTCTTGTACTTGAAACATCCAGGTTGGATGGTTGACCCATCCAACCTAACCCTGAACACTTGCAGGAATGGGGCATCCACAGGTTCACTGGGCAGCCTGTTCTAATGCTTCACCACCCTTAGAGTAAAGAGTTTCTTCCTAACATCTAATCCAAACCTGCCTTCCTTCAGTTTAGAACCACTGCCCCTTGTCCTGTCACCATCTCTTAGTATGGAAACTCCTTCCCTACATTTTAGAAACCCCTTTAAGGTACTGAACCCCCTTTAGACATCAGAAGGCCACAATTAGATCTTCCCAAAGCCTTCTCTTCTTCAGGCTGCACAGCCTCAGCTGTCTCAGCCTGTCCTGTAGGAGAGATGCTCTAGCCCTTTGATCACCTTTATGTCCCTCCTCTGGACCCATTCAAACAGGTGCATGCCTTTCTTGTGCTGAGGACTCCACACTGGATACAGCACTTCAGGTAGGGTCTCATGAGGGGAGAGGGGAAGAATCACTTCCCTTGATCTGCTGGCCCTGCTGCTTTTGATACAGTCCAGGATTTGGTTTTCAGGGCTGCAATCACATACTGCTGGATCACGTCCAGCTTTTCATCCAACCCCCTACCCTGCTACAAAAGAGAAGCACACTGCCAGCTCACACTACTTTCTTAAACACCACGGAGCTTTCTGTACCTCAGCCAACATTCTTACACTACTCAGTGCACCTATACTCAGGGCCATCTCCTACGAGTAGTTAACTCAGGCCATGAAGTCATGAAGTACTTGTGGCACAGCACCATCCTGGGCTGAGTCTCAGCCTGCACTAGACTGTGGAGCTCCCGGAAACTCACAGTACCCCACATGCCCCTTGCCATGCTGGTTCTCCAGAGCTTCCCATATAGACACCTAACGTGGGACACCCTCAGTCATATCCCTAACACAGCCCTGGTGGGCAACATAGGTAATAAGGTGCAGGGTTGAAAATGAGTAAAGACAACAACATAAATTCTGGACAGCAGACAAAAAGAAAAGTGCTGGAGGAAACTCATACAGCTACAGGCTCTACAGGATGACATACTGGGATACCTGTTTCATAACTGACGCCAAACAGGAAAAGAAATGTCAGTATCTGAGCACCTCTGGCAGTACAAAGGGTGCAAAGGCACCTGATATTATTTTGTACATGTCATCATCCCAATATCAAAGCACTACGCATGTGCTGACAGCAGAAGCAAATGCTCAAAAAGATTTCTCCACGATAGCTACAGAGCAGTGGAAATTCTACATCCAGCTTCAGCTCTTAGTTTTTTTCTAATAACACAAAATGCAGTTTGCAAACTATTACTGGTATTCCACGTAAAAAACAGCAGGTGCCACTAAAGAGACCTTGAGTACTGCTCCAAACCTGGAATACCTAAGCAAATAACAAAAGATATTGATTATGCATGTTTTCAATGAAGCAGTGATAGCATTAATTTTCCTGGGAATAAAAAGATGAGAATTAAACAGCTGCTTACACAGAAACTCCAACTGTGAGTTAGCTCTCAAGTGAGCCACAATCGGAAATTGTGTGGAGATGATTCTACAATACAAGAATAATACAACAATACAATGACAAACTTGCAGAGAAATTTATGAAAGAAGGAGAAGTTGAAGTAGCCTTTCACCATGATGCAGCTTTCCCAAAGACTGTGGTGGCCTCAGGGTAATACACTCTGGAGATGGAGACCTCTTTTTAGCTCTGCTGCACAAGAAGTGCCATTTTAGCCATATGAAAAGAGGGGACTTTTGTTAATGAGTATATGAGAATTTTAGCTATGAAATTAAGGATTCTAAGGCAGAAGAACACAATCAGTTTCTTTAATGAACGTCTAAGGTAGAAGAACATGATCAGTTTCTTTAATGAAGGCCAGGAATAATTAGTCTTTATGCTGCTATCATTCAACTCTGGTGGTCTTATGGAATTAAGGAAGGGGCACATCCTCATGGACTGAACTATGCATGGCACTGGCTTGCTTGGATGTTGAATATGGAACCCCTGACAGATGTGACAGCTATGCTACTTTTTTATTTTCTGGATGTGAGTGGCAATGCTCTCATGAGACAGTACCACATCCAGTTCTGGAAAATTACTTTATCCAAGTTTATCCAAGGCTACATCCCAAGAATTGAAGCAATTACAAGCACTGTATAGAAGGGCATGTAATGTGTTTGAAGGATTTCATGAAGCACTGTCTACAGATGAAGGAAATTCTGCTTCCAATAGGCACTCTGTTGCCTTCCTTTTGGAGACTATAGATAAGTCTGTATCTCTAATCCCCAGGATGCTAGTGCTTTCAGACTTGGCTTCCTGTTTACATGGTAAGGCAGAATATATTCTGTATATAGAAGAATGACAAGAAAGTATTTAATCAACTTGTTAATGCTTACTTCATGAAGATGTTGGGCAGCAGAAACTTGTGTTTAATTTGCTGCAAATAGTTATTCTTTGCATTGCCTCTTTAAAAGTTCTTGTATCATAAATACTTGTTAAAAAAAACCAAAAAAAAACCAAAAAAAAACCCAAACCCCATCCAGAGTACTGTGTTCAGCTGTGGAGTTTCCAACACAAAAAAGAGGTGAACCTGTTGGAACAAGTCCAGAGAAGGCCACCAAAACAATCACAGGACTGGTGCACCTCTCCTGTTAAGACAGACTGAGAGAATTTGGGTTCTTCAGCCTGCAGAAGAGAAGGGTCTGGGAAGACCCTTTAGAAGCCTTCCAGTACCTGAAGAGGGCCTGTAAAAAAGCTGGAGAGGGTCTTTTAACAAGCACATGTAGTGACAAGACAAGGGAGATTTGCTTTAAAATAAAGAGGGTAGGTTTAGATTAACTGTTATTACTGTGAGAATGGTGAGGCACTGTAACAAGTTGCTCAGAGAGGCTGTGGATGCCCTGGAAATGTTCAAGGAAATGCTAGACTGGGCTCTGAGCAGCCTGTTCCAGTGGAAGGCACCCCTGGTACTAAGTCAGGATGCCCAGGCAAATTTGCTTATCTTCAAGAGCAGAGGAAGCCCAGGTTCTCCGTGTGACTTCCTACAATATTTGACCACAGCTGTTCTGAAGGTTTTTCTCCCCTGGTGCACCATTTGCTGCAACTTGTGCCCATTGCCCTGCCTCTCTGATTTTTTTCTTTTTTTTTTTTCCAGAACCAGTAAGCTTAGAAAATTATTCTAAAGAGTGCTGAATGCCTGTCACTTTCTTAAACTGACATCAGCACAGCATCTCAGTCTTGCCTTTACAACACCACTCCCAGTTTTGTAAAACATTACTTACTTTCCAGGGGTTCCTTCTCCATACTGGACTCTTCTGGTTCATCAAACCGCCCTACTGGTAACTTTGGTTTCTTTAGTGGCTGCTTAACGGGTTCAGATCTTCCTCCTGGCTTAGAGCTGGAGGTGCTTCGTGAGTGGCAAAGAAGTGAGGACTCTATCAAGCAAACAGACATGTGTAGCATAAATGTGGGAGTTTAACACTGAGTAATGCTGTGACTGTCCAGTGCACCTCTGAAAAAAAACCTACTTCAGGGATGAGGAAAAGGAAGGAAAACAAACTCTAAAAATTATTTAACATTCAACTCATGAACACCTAAGAAATCAGCACGGATAATTATTTTTGGCCCTAAAAACATATCTAGGCAAAATTGTGTTAGTTGTATAACTCAGTTCACATTAACAGTGTATTTTAAACTGCTTGAACTTAACTTTGCTGTTCTATTCTTGTATTTTAGACTCTTGAACAGTAATTATGCTAGCATAGACCAGTACAGTCTGTTTTCCAGGAGAAATCCTAACCTCCCCCAAGAAACCTGCCAATTTCCATGTCTTGGCTCATTTCCACCAGCTTTTTAGTCAGAAGAAGCTTCTGCTTTCCCAAAGGAAAGTTTAAAAAAATAAAACGTTCCCTTAGTAACAGGTTTTCCAGAATGTCGGCAGAAGATAACTGGGCTTCCCTTAGGATGGTAAAATAATTCAGCTGGTAGTCAAAAGCAGGAAAAATTTTGAGCATGTTTAAGTTCAATTATGTAACTGCATGCAAATGCTTTCATTAAAAGCATTAATTTTTTTCCTTTAAAGTCCTACTAACATTTTGGTTAAAAAAGCCAGTGAGCACAAACTATCCACTAAAAATATTTTGGCTGTAGACAGGTGCCTAAAGCAGTTCTGACATTTCTTGAGAAGCAAGATTCAAACAGGAATTTTCCCTGTACCAGCTGGGTTCAATGTACCTGAAAGAACTATTATGCTACTTTCCTAAGGAGATTGAATCATGAAGTCTTGTCAAGCCCTGTCAATTTGACTCACCTTAATATACACCATCTAACAACTCACTCCCAGAATCAGCATATTCATTCATTTTAAAATACCACATCTCTAATATCAAACCCTACAGCCACACAAACTGTATTATGTCTGCCAACTGCTGCCAATGCCCCAAAGGAGTAAACCATGGTGTAACAAACTATTAACAGTAAAGGATCCAATCTGTTGTAATTGGGTCTTTCTACTCCTGCCAATCTTCTTGTTATTCTTCAGTAATCTAGAAAAGCTAGCTAGAAAATTAAATTATAGCTGGTATTCTAATCCAAATTAAAATAAAAATCAGATTAAGGTACTGGTATGAAATTGATTTATCTTGGGTCATTAGAGAAGGGGCAAGACCCATTTTCCTTGATAGATTTACTTGGTATTCTTGACTAAAATGCACTTTTCTTGACAGAGAGGTGACAAAAGTTCAACATGAAACATCTCTGAAAAAGATGAGATGAACTATCAATGTTAGTAAAACACATTGCACAAACTGATCTTTGATTCCCTTCTCTTTCACAAAGGCCTCACATTTATTAATTACATAACTAAACTTGAAAATTCCAAGTCTTTAAAGTTGCTGCACTGCAATATTCCATCTTTTGAAGTGGCCCACAGCATGTGATTTATCCTAACAAAGCCATCCATGCAGTGGGATTTAGGCACACATCGGGATGCTCAGAGGATTAGAGCATCAGCCACATCTTGCCATGAACCCGAGAGCCAAATAGAGTACAAACATCTAACAACAATTTATGACAGCTCTTCCATTAACATACAGCGTACTGGCTTGTTTTAGTGCATTGTATCAACAGCATCACCGAACGTCATCTCCTGACGAGAGGGAAGCACCCAACAAACAGCCCAAGCTGAGGCCTGCGGGACGGGCTCTGCTATCCAGTCTGCCTCCCTTCCCTATAAACAAAACACCTCCATTTCCTCAGGTGAAGGGAACGGACCAGTAACTTCCAGGTCCACAGCACGTTTCCTCCAGCTATTCGCTAAAAGTTACACCACTTTTTTAACATTTTACTGCCATTAAAAAGTACGAAGCAACGATAGGGCAAGAAAACCTCCGTAGTAACAGATTTGCCCGACAGCAGTAGGTTTGCAGTACAGGCGATAGATAATATTAATACCGAAGGGGCGGGGGCTAAGAGCAGGAGTCTGCAGGGCCGCGGCGGGTGCGCGAAGGCTGCGAGCCCGCGGCCCCGCGCTGAGGCGGCCCCTCACACCCGCCGCCGCCATCTTGGGCCCCCGCCGCGCCAGCAGCCCCGGGCGCGCCCGCCCCGTCCCCTCGCTCGTCAGTTCCTGCGGCAGGAAGGGCGGGGGAGCCGCGGAGCCCCTTCGCGGCACAACCCGGGCCCTCCTGCCCTCCGCCCGCTCCTTACTCGCTGCCCCGGGCGCGCCGCGCAGCAGCCGCAGAGCCATGGCCGGGACGGAGCCGTGCGGGGCGGGCAGCGCCGCCGCGCAGGCGCCCGAGGCGGCGGCGGCCCCGGGCGGCGCCGCTGCAGCGGCCTCGCACGCCCGGGCCCGGCGCCGCTCCCGGCTCTCGTAAGCGGCGGGCCCGGCGCCGCTCCCGGCTCCGGTAATAAGCAGCGGGCCCGGCGCCGCTCCCGGCTCCGGTAATAAGCGGCGGGCCCGGCGCCGCTCCCGGCTCCGGCAAGCGGCGGGAACGGCGCCGCTCCCGGCTCCGGCAAGCAGCGGCGGGCCCGGCGCCGCTCCCGGCTCCGGCAAGCAGCGGCGGGCCCGGCGCCGCTCCCGGCTCCGGCAAGCAGCGGCGGGCCCGGCGCCGCTCCCGGCTCCCGTAAGCGGCGGGCCCGGCGCCGCTCCCGGCTCCGGCAAGCGGCGGGCCCGGCGCCTGGGACCACGGTCCCCATGGAAGCAGCTACAGCCTCCCAGAGGTGCTCGAGAAATACGCTGTAACTCCTCTCCCAGCGAAACGTGGAGCAAAGACGCCTTCTTTTTTCAATGCAGTGAAGAGTTTAGCGCTGCAAGAACCCCTTTTCCCTCGATGTGTAGTGCAGTCCAACTAGGGTTTTTGGGGGGTTTGTTTGGTTTTTTTTTTTTTTTTTTTTTGTTTGTTTGTTTTTTAATAAAAATTGTACATTGTTCAAATAATACACAAAGGCTGCCAAGGACATGAAGGAACTCCAGCTAACACCATAGTAATGTACAGACGGTGTTTGTGCTTTCAGATGGCATCTTTCCAGTTTCCGAGTTTAAGCAGTGAAGTTGCTTTTCACGCTCACTGTAAACCTAACCCTGGGATAAGTAGCATGTTCATGGAGTGGCGCTCCAGTTAGTAAAGTACAGTTAATGTTTTGAATATGGCAACTTTTGCTTTTTGGCACTCTTTAAACTTCTCCAGCTAACCTTATTCTTAGATAAAACAGAATTCACTGTACAGAGATACGAACCTGAAGAAGATAACTTGGAGATCTGAACCTAAAATAGCAATTTTTGTTCACATCTGAAAGCTTTAAGAAAGTAAGTCTTGGTAAATTAAAAGAGCAGCAGCACTTCTGGAGTTTATTTGAGCTACATCTGGCAATGCCTACACACTGAAAGTAATTAAATTTAACAGACTGCCTTACGAGTGACATTTTCTCAACTAGCCTTTTATAACATGGTTAATTAGACAGTAGAGACTGAAAATAATGGAAACTCTTTTCTTTATTCTAACAGCAAGATGCTGGGCCTGTAGATCAATGAGAATAAAGATGAATGCAGAAAAGAATGCTCTGCCTGAATGCAGCAAGGAGAAAACCTAAACAGATCTTGTCAAAGTTCAAGAACTTATTACTTACGTCTTCAGTACATTAAAAACATGAAATCCTTCCCTTAAAAAAACTTACAAGCTGCCTGCAGACACCAAGTAATAGTAACTCTGCTCCTAAACCACTTAGCACAATATGTATGCATACATCATATGTACAAGCATACATGTCAAATTTCAAATGGTAAGAATGAAATAGCAAGGAAAGATTTTTGAGGTACTGTTTATCCACCTAAAAATTAACTGTCTTCAAAAGCATATTTTTCATCTTTTTTGTATTGCTGTAAAAATTCACTTGTAACTCCTGAATTATTCATTTCTATAACTTTTGGCTAAGGAGGTAATAAATCTTAACATTGGTAAAAACAACTGTAGCATACAGAACAGGAATTTTCTACTTTGTGATTAAACGGACTGTTTTCTTGTTTTCCTTCCTCTGTTTACTGAACATTTATCTCTTGCACGGTAGCTTCCTTTGCAAGATGACACAAACAATATTGTATTTAGCTTTGCTGTTCTAAAAAATGGGGAATAAAAGACGTACAGCTAGCACAAAGCTTGCAGCAGGTCAGTTCAGGTGAGCCAGATGTACTGGTCTTGGAGACTACCGGGAAAGCACCACAACCAGCACAGGCCTGGCCAGCCAGTGTACTGATATTGCCTAAATGCCTTCTCTGCCTCTGAGACCACATCAAGAACCTTGGTTATCTGAACACCACATTAGTCAGGGCTAATCAAATAAAACCAGCTTGGAAACAAGGTTGTTTCATGCTTACAGAGTAAGTTTTCCATCAATGTCAAATCTCTTGGCTCTGCTGCAAATCCTGGTGATTTCCAGTATAACATGAACTCCTTTTCCAAAGTAGTAGCAATGCCTGGATTTACAGTAACAGAAAGTTTAGTTTGTATCAAGGATTCAAACACAACCCAAGGAATTAATTTATATATACAACATGGAAATAGCGGTTCAGACCCTATATCATTTTATGCAGTGATCTCCTAATTTTATCACTGAGAGCTTTTTAAAATAACAGTACCAGCCTACTCCTTCAGAGAACAAGAGACTGACAGTCAAAGGAATGTTAAGACCTCAGTTCTTACCTCTCATTCTGTAAGCAGCATAATTCTCTTTGAAGCAGCTGCAGGATACCTGCATGGAGAGGTCACTATCATAAAGGAAGATGAAGCCCTCATTCAAACAGAAGAGTGGTGAGACAGTGAGTAGCAGCACTTTAGATCTTCTACTGCATCAGATGACACTGACTTATGTATACCCAGGTCTGTATTTAGGTCTAGGAAAGTGAAGGCAGACAACTGCACAACTGCAAGAGTAGGGAGAACATGCCATGCAACACATGCACAGTTGTCCAAAATATCCCAGCCTGCATGTGTTGTTCAGAGAGCAACTGCAAGTGACCATACAGTCTGCAAGTCAATATGAACCTCCTATGCTTCAAGGACATGTTGGGGTCATCACGCCTCTCGCTACGGTCAGACAGCACATTCCTTTGGGACTTGGGAAGTCAAACAGCCCTCACAAAAGCTACAGTACTGAGAGGGCTACCAGACCACATCTAGAGTAGGCAATAAAAATTAAGGAAGAGAGAATGAATTTACTGTTCTCTTAATTTGCCCTGTTCCTTGAGATACTTACACGCAAATATCACATGATGTCCTGCACCATCCATTTTCCTCAAAGAACAAGCCTAATTCAAGCTGCTTTAAAGTTGGGACCTACTGTTACCACCCCCATTCCCTCCAAAACAATAAAAAAAAAAACAAAAAAGAGAAAGAGAAAAAATAAAATAAAAGAAAAAAAATGTGGCTATTTCTGTCATACTTCTGCTATTCTGATCACAAAAGCATGCTTTACATGTTCAGCAGAGACAGAAAGCAAGACAGACATTTTTCAATAGTGAGAGAGCTATCTAAATGTTTCCTAAGAACACTTTAAAGTCTTAATTGTGAATCAAGGAATATTTTGTAACTTCAGCTCCCTTCAACAGCTATTCAAAGTTTAGCAGGTAGCCACATCCAATAGTATTGTTAAATAAAAGACAGTTGAGATACCAGAGCATAATTTAAACATTTAGAGCTTAATAGCAACATCATAATACAAAATTAAAAATAAAAATAGGCATTGTTATAGTGAGAATGTATTAAAGATACCTTTGTGTCATAAAGACTTGCCTAACACAACTCTAATGAAATACTCTGCAGTGTATACGTTGCTGAACTTTAGATGTTCAGATACTCATTTCAGCATCTTGTAAGTTATAGGAACCCCCCCCATATATTACAAAGACTATTATACAACATTACATATCAAATGCAAAATCACTTCATCTATAATTATAGACATTTCATATATATATATATATATAATAATTTCAATTATTATTGCTATATTAACTTCAAAAGTACAAAATTATTAATTATATACAAAAAGCTTCCCCAGAATTTTGGTAATTAGCAGAACATTTCAGTTTCTTTAATTGCTTTCATTAGAGTAATTTCTTCATTTTATTAACACCAGATGCAATAACACAATCCTAAAAATAAACATGCATTATACAACAAATTTATATTTTTCAAAAAATGTTCATTACAATTAGTGTACAATTCGTGAATGCACATATAACTCTTTTCCCCCAGCTTTAGTGAACTATTGTTTGAAACAAAGAAAAGGGAAGGAAGAAGAAACCAAACAATACTATTCAGCACCAGTAGAAAGTCAGATCTTTAACATTCCTGTATATCAAAAACATTTTATCTGTGTCACTAAACAGGTGAAGTTTACAATAGTCTCAATTGAAGATGTATTGATTTATATTTACAATACTTTATAGTCAATAAAACATTTTAACAATATTTAAAAATTTTTTAAATTCATAAAAGTATTGCAGAAATTTATAACATTTACTTATTTTAAGTATATACAAGGAAGTCCACATAAAATTGTCCATGTTCATCTGAAGAACTGACAGAGTAAGGAACCATCTTAATACAGTTTGCAAACCCCCAATTATAATGAAGATATCATTGAACATTCAAAAATCTTTAGTTGCAATTTTCTTCTGAAAACAAAAGTTCCAGTCATAAAATTTGAGTATGTAAACGAACATGTTTTTGAAATCAGCAGAAAATATATTCCCATAGGCATAACATTTTTAACAATGACAGTAATGATTTTGTAAAAAACTGTTAAGCTGTAGCAGATATAGTAATTTTCAAATATCCAGTATTTTAGCAGCTCATTGTGTTTCCAGTTAAACTTCCTACAGTGCTAAAATACGACAAGTGAACACGTAAGACATTGTTAGAATTTTAAAATCCAATTTATTGTTGGCATGTAAAGCCTCTTGTAAAATGTAGCCAAGTAACATCGACTTCTGTTGTCTGAAAGCCAATAACCAAACAAAAGTACACACTGTGCTTTAATTTCCAAATAATTAGGTACCCAAAATTAAGAAAAAGTAATAGAAAAGTAAAAAGAACAAAATAAAAAAATATTGCACAGTCACATTACCTAGAAAGTAAAGTTGATGTTAAAAAGCCCTAAGTGTGGATGATATAAATTATCTTCCATATAAAAAGTATAAATATCTCTTAAAATACAGCTGTAGCTATACTTTAACACCACACATTATCTGAATTCATCTGTTAATGAGGTAATAACCAAGTCTCTGACAATGCTTTTCTCTACTGAAAATATTTTAGGGCAGCAACAAGAAAGAATTTTTCTAAAAATATTTCTGAATCAAGAACAGCAATGTGTGCAGCTCTCCCTATGAGAGAATCTGCTGTATTGGGTAATGCATTAATTACATTATAACGAACCAAATTACATTCCTTGTTTTGAAGAACTGGCAGAAGCAGGTTCTGAATCATTTCAGCATAAATTGGTCCTGTAGAGGAAAAGAAGAGTTGTACTGTGTGAATTTCCAGAAACAAACAATTTTTTGACCTTGAACTCAGAATGAACCCATTCCAGAGTAAAGAGAAGTAATGAAATGTGTTATGCTGTGGTTCTATTAAGATTGAATATAAAGAAAGTTTAATTTCCTCTAGAAATGTTGGAAAAATAATTTTAAGCTGTGCATTTTAATATTTGTACCTTTATAGTGAGAATGTACTTATCAGTATTAACTGATTACATCACATAAAAGTTATTTGTCAATATATAACACTAGAATGCAATTGTGCTAGGATATCTCAATAGTAAGTAAAATGACCCTAACTGATTATGGAAAAATTACCTTTTTTTTTCAGTGCTATTATTAAGCCACAGCTAAATACAGCCCAGGGCCTGATGCTACAATTTGATATCCTCAAAAATCAAAATTATTTGTCCTCCCTGTTCATGAAATAATACATCAAGGGCTATGTCTATCTCACCTGACTTTCATCAAAGTCAATGAGCTAGAAACCTGTTCAGTCTCATCTCCATCTGCATGTAATAGAACAGGACAGACACAGAAAGCAAGTCAGCCTCTACATGGATTTTCTCCCTCTACTACAAAGTAAGCCCAAAGTTTCTAAACACATAATAGAGGTGCCACAGTTAAGCAGCCAAAATTAAGTGGGAGGAGATTGATATGTGTAAGTTCTTAACCTAAGTGGTCTGTTTATTTTGCAGGATATTTATTACCTGATTGTTTATCCTTTAAAGCTGTTTTACACATCTCAATGCGAGCAGAGTGATAGGGAACATAACGATCCTGCAGAGATCCTACTAACACAATGTTTTTGAAGTAATGAAGACCTACAAGAAAAAGATGTATCATTATAGCAAATCCTCTGATCTATTACGACTGAAAAATGAAACATTTTACAACTGATATTTGACACTAATTATTACAGGATCTTGCACAAAAGCCAATTACAATAGGTAGACCTACAAAATAATGCAATGTTTGGTACCAGCCTTTCCTCTGTACATATTCAAAAGACATGGCTATGGCTCAGTTGTAGAGTTCCCCATTAAACTGAGTATGGTTCAAACCTTCATCTTGTTTCTTAGGAATACAGTGGTTGGATTCTGGCTATACAGAAGAGAGTAAAGCCTCCACATGGCTTAAAGAAACCTACAGATGGATGGTGCCTTGTCTTCACTGATGTTTAAGACAATAGCTGCATTAGAAATCATGCCTAGCACCAACACATACATGACATAGCCCGCCTAGTGCAGGTGCCTCTCTAAGGCGCTGCCTCATTCTAAGGTTTAACCAGCTCAAGCACAGGTGCAGATCCACCCAACACAACCCCAAAGTATTATTAAACCTTTGTAACTAAACCCAAACTTCCTAATTCCTGAGCAAGTTCGCTTATAGTAGAACAATGCAAAGGTAGGAACCCCAAGCAATGACAGAGTTACAGCACTTAAAGACATGAAATTATTACATTTTTTCTAGCAATCTGCAGCAGATTTCTGGTGCTACCCATCTGCTTTAGGCCAAACACAATGGAGCACTTTAGGAAAATAGTTTGCCTTAGAACAGCCCCTTCTGAATATCATATTTTAGACATAAGTATCATCAATCTTTCATTATGAAAAAGTGTGATCAAAATCTTCACAGGAACAAAGAAAGTATATAGGATATTTCATAAGATAAGTGAGTTTAACTGTTTACCTATTCTTCACCCATTTTGGGGTTAAGCAACAGGATCTGTTTAACATGTATGTTCTTTGACAAATTTGAAATCTAGAGTCACAAGCCACCATACAACTATGTAGCTGAGACCTTGAAGCCTCAAAATACCACCTGCTGGATCCACAGCAAGTTTTAGATTTTGCTGCCTTAGGGATTTTCCCAGATGCAAAGCCAATGTCCAAAAAAGACACCACATTAAGCAGTAACAGATGTTTCATCTTAGACCCCTATTTAACTATATGATCACGAAAATCAACAGAAATTGCAAATTCAGGGCTACACTTTTCAAAAGTGTTGTCAATCTCTTTCATGTACCCTGGGGGTTAAGTGACTTCTGGAAAGACTTATGTTTAGAATAATTTTTGAGACCAGCACAAAAATTCCCTATATTTAGAATCTGAAAAGAGGAATTGTGCAGGTTGGGGAATCCCAAATGCCTCTCACCTTGTATCTGAGAGTCAAGTATGCCCACTGAGAGACGAAAGAGATGGCAGGACAGAAGCAGGGCTTGTACACATATCAAGAGTTAAAGACACCAACTCCTACATTTACCTACAGTATATTAACTCACCCCTCAAAGGAAAACTTTCTTCCTTCTCTGTGAGGGAACCATAAAACTTACTTTATTTTCTCCTTATCTAAAATAATTAATTTTTCAAATCTCTTTCTCCTGTCTCCTCCAGCGTTTCCTTCTCCCCTACATTGACCTAGCTGAAGGACCTGGAAACAAGATGGTGCAGCTGAGGCTGTGGCCCAAAATACAGCTCTTTCTATCTCTTTGGTAATAAAGAAAAGCAGAAACTGAGCCTGAAGACTTTTCTACCATTTATGGGGAACAAAGTCTGAAATGCACATTATGACTCTGGAGACAGTGCTATCCAGGTCTTTCAAAAATCCTGTCATATAAAGGTCTGCTATCAGAAAATATGTCACGCTTCTAAACAGACACTAGTACTCAAATGACAGTGTCTCTAGCCATGTTGAGATACATACACATAAAAACCCTGGAATATGAATTTTTCTTAAGCCAACTGATCAATTAATCTGATTATATTTTAGCAGGGGTCCCAGGGGTCTTACTCAGCATCTAGTGTGTAACTTTTCACATAACTTTTATTTATATTCAAACATTTATTTTCAAAAGACAGCAAAACTAGATTGAGTTCACCTTTAGATACCAGTTCAGCTTTAGATATTACTATATCATCAACAAAATCACTTCATGATAGTAGCTTCTGAAGAGAAGGGTAAGAGAACTCCAAGTTTTTTCTAAAATCAATTTTTGATCAATATTCCTATCTTACCTATGATTTTTCTTCTTCCTCCTTCATTATTATTTTCTGCTTCTTCCAAGTCCTCTAAATTTTATATTCAAGCACCTCAAGAGCTGTATGTCCCATCTTTTCCAGGCCATATGTTTGTACTTCATTGCCCTTAACAAAATTCCAGCTGTGACAACCTAGAAATATTTTTATCTAGGAGTGTGCCTGGATTTTTCACAAAACAGCACAAGCATCTCTGGCTCCACAGCTGCTTGACTGACACACATTCACATACACCTGTCAGATGAATCCTCAATAATTTTATAATGCTTAATGGAAACTACCCTCCTGCTGGCACATCACTTGACTCACCACACAGTGGCTCACAGTTAGATATTTAAAAAATCCTCTATTTGTCTATTGGTGTAATGGCTGCACTCAAGTTCTGCTCATTAGTTAGGAAGGAAAGTCTCAAAGTAATATCATGCCTCTGCAACAGAAATGGTTTACTGTTTACTTGAAGAATACAGGATTAAAACAACTCTTAAATATTAAAACTGAAACAGGAACTTTTTGAAAATAAGTTCCTTTTTTTTTTAGGTTTCCTATTCATATTTGTACACAGTTGCCTTTAAGAGATAGGAAGCATTAACAAAGCTTACCTGCTTTTTTACTGAGTTTATATAAGAATGTCTGTCGTGGATCTGAATGGTCTCGACATGTCAGTTGCAATAAAGAACCAGACTTCTTCCATTTCTGCATAAACCACAGTCCTGCAATGTTAGGTACAACATTAGTATAGATCCACAATAAAATATAAAAACCAATTAAGCATAATATATAAAGTTCATAACAGTCTCTCAGAAACAATTTAAATTTTCATTTTCTTTCCTATCTATCTACACAATGAAGCATGAAGGCCTTTATTTCCACTAATGTACATGCCTGCCAACAAAAAATAACTTCCAGAAAGTGTAAATAATGTTAGCCAGAATATACACATTCTATTTCATTAATTTGTATAGCATTAGAACATTTTGATGTTCAAAAAACAACAGGCATTACTTCTTCAGTTTCTAAACTGAACTCATTAAATGTAACTTGAAAAAAGGAAGCAGAATTTTCTCACAGGAATATCACAGTACAAACTTTTCTATGGTGCTATTTCTCTTTATTAGTCAATAATAATAATAGGTGGCTAACTGACTTTTCAGAAAATTTTGCCTCCCTCACCATGCACACCTGCAGAAACATGCTGCAGGTTATAAGGCATTTTTGAGAGAAAAGACACCGATAGTTTAGAATTATTTTAATGTATCTTATATAATTGTTTGGCAGATTAAGTATATTCAATTCAGTTTATTATAAATTGAACTCAACAGATTAAAACTGGAGTTTATTTATGCTGCAACAGAAAATCTGAACCAAACATACTGGAAAATACTTATGCCAATCACCTCTTGCACATCCTTTTATTGATACTTTATTTTTATAACCCTTCTCTCTGCTTATGACAGTGAAATATGCAGTTTCTCAAAATCATAGTAATGCAGAAATGTGCATCCCACATAAAATTGCTAAGTTCATTTCAAAGACAAGATTTCCCCTAAACTAATACTACTGAAAATAATACTTCACCTGTATTAACAAGAGCACTGCTGTTGTAGAGGGTACCAAGATGTGGTCCAGACAGAGACAGGAAGGTATGAAGTTTGTTGAGGTAATACTTAAATCTGTGTCTTGTGAGCACTGAACGGATTATTAAATTACCCAGTGAGTGTCCAATAAAGCTGTTAAAGAGAAAAAACAATATTACATGGAATTTTATAGCAGGATTTTTTTTCTTTTCACAGAGAAAAAGTAAATCGGCATCATGAAATGCTAAAAGAGCATAGGAAAAAAATTAATTAAAAGTTTCCACTCAGACCAATATTTTATGTAATTCAGGAGGCATAGCTTGTCCATGTTTCTCAAGCTGCACAACCTCATTACAAGCATGTTTTGAACTCCTCCAGAAATATATAATACAGCACTTTTGAAAAGCTAACAAAACCAAACTATCCTTCCACCAGCATCTACCACCCAAACCCAAGACTATTTCTGGGTTCATTTCCCTTGGCACCAACTATTAAGAAAATATTTTATGAGCCATGCATGACTGAAATCATCATTACTTTGGCATGTGATGGCACTCAATATGATAAATGTAGGAACATTCCTGAAACAATTTGGTGTAGACAGATTCCAAAGGTAGTCCTAATGGGGGGAACACCATTACTTAACTGAACCTGATTATTTAAAAACAGAAGCAACATCTCAGATCTGCTCAGCAGATCTGACCTTTTCAAAAGAAGTGATTATTAGCTTAAGCAAGCAATTGAAGAATATGTCTCTGTCAGGACAATAGTACTTTCAGGTGTTTCCCTGGTTAAGCAATTTAAGGGAAAGATGGATGGAACTCTTTAGCTTTTTGTATCTAAGGATAAATATTACTTAATGTGAGGTGCTTACTGTCATATATGGAAGCCTATACAAAGCATTTCTTTAAAACAAACACTACAAAATTAAGCAATTCTAGTTATTATGCTTACAGATCCCTGCTGAGATCAGGACCGCACCAAACTAGGCACTGACTTAAAGAAGAACAGACTCAAAAGTTAGAAGGAAGAACTGCCTTCCTGTGTTATAGAGGCAACCCCAGGATATGGTGAGAAGAGACAACCATCCAAAATTACGTACAGTGGAACTATCACTGCTGGATCACATACGTGCTACAATATTATTCCTCTAGGATCATCCTTCGTGTTTGCTCTGTATCACTACATTTATAAACAAAAATAACTAAGACAAAGCTTCTGGTAACATCTGTGTAAGATACAGTGCTTAAAGATTACTTGACTGTTTAAATTCTTCCCAAGCAAGAAAGCTCTCAGAAAATACCAATTTAAAAATAAAAATTCAAACAATTGGTTATAGAATGGCAGAACCACCCTGAACTCCTACACTTCCAAATAATTATGCATTTCTATAACAGAAAAAGGAGTTTTGTCCATTATTAATACATAGTTTAAGCATGTATGTATTCAGTTGCTTTTACTACTAGATTTCCAATATAATTTTATGAGAAATTATTTGCTTGAGTTTGCTATATTTGCCTAACTAATTTTGAAATCAAAGATTATGTATCCTCTGTGGTGTCAGCACAACAGCAGTGCATTTGCAAAACAAAATACTGAGCTGCTCTTTTGAATACTAAAATTTAAAACTATTCCCTCGGAGGACTTCATAAAACTCCACACAAGAACAATAAAACCACAGATGTCTTTAAGAACAAGCAAATGCCCACAGAAATTGAATTGACCCTGAAGATGATCTGTGTGATGTAACCGCTTTTAAGTAAAACAGATTGTTTTCTAAAGATCTGAGCATTACCAGAGATACTCTCTTGACAGTTCTCCTAAAGTTCAGACAGTATTTACTAAACATCATAAGGGGCTGAGAAACTCTTATACTGTACCATAACAAAGGACATTTTCTGTGAAAAAAACAGCAATCCATTTACCAATTCTATCATCCCTAAGAGTACAGGCATACTTAACCCAAACTTCAGAAACATGAAAGATAATCTTGAGGAAAACTGGAAGCTCACAATCAACTATGTGAATGTACCTCAAAGACTAAATACTTGAAGTTAATTTGAAAAGTCATAGAAATATAATAAATGTTACAGTAATACAATGTGATCCAATTCAGATGCTTAGGTGAACCCATAATAAGCCTTAAATTTGTTTTTTAATAGAGAAAGGTTTCAAAAATTGCTCAAATCAAAGGAGGAGGAAAAGGAAAATCCTTAAAATAGGGTCTTGAAAGTGTAAAACAGGAATGTAATCCATCCTACTCATGGGAAGCTCTGCAAAAGCAATGAACACTAGGTGGCAATATTACAATTTTCGGAATAAATCGTTAACACACTGAAGTTAACAGAATTACAGTTTTTATAGTTGTTTTATGATACAAGTCTACCAACTCAGAGCATATTAGAAAAATCAGACACAGCAAAACCTCATTATTCTGTGCCAATAAACAAGAATCCTGTGCAACTATAAAAATTCATGGAAGGAAGAAAAATCAATCAAGATTCATAACCAATGAGGTGCTCAAACAACAAACGGATGCTTTAATATATGCATAGCATTAAACACTTTCTTTTTTTTTTTTTTTTTTTATGAGCCAATGTTACTTAGGGAATTGGATGACAAGCTGATTAATCTACCTGAGGTCAAAGAAAGTCATCAGAAATTTACGTAAGACATGACATGTGCAAAATGGTTTCTGAAACTTCACTTAAGAGCAGGTGGTTTATTCCCCAGCTGCCTGGTTACCTGGAGGGCTTTCATCCTCACAGATACTTACAACTTGAATGGGTACGACTGAGCAATTTGACATGCTTCAAAACTGCATTAACTTTGATGGTGACATTGGTATAACTGGTCCAAATGACCTCCAGATGTCCCCCCACCCTAAAGCTTCCTGTTTTTTACTAAACAGTTCTTTTATAAGGCAAATTGCATTTGTATTAGCTCTGGTATTAGCTCTGCAGGTGCCAAAATGTTTACTGAAGCCGACACTATTCCAGTGGTACAGGGAATGTCTTTTCTCAGTACAGGAATGTAGCATAGTAAGTAGGATTTCACCATTACTTGAGAGCATGAGACTCTGCATTTATCTGAATAAAGAGCAGAATCTCAGACCATATCTGAACTTACCTTGACCTGATCTGATTTTGATTTGTTTAAGCTGTGACAACAATCATCTGCCAGTGAACTACCAAGTCAGGTCTAAAGTTGCTTTAGTTTCAGTACAGTTTCTATTAGTAACAAGTAGTTATTATTTGTGGCCTGAACTGTGTATCACCAGAATGAAGTGTGGTGTGGATGACTGTAGGTACAGGTATCTTATGGTAGAGGTCCCCAGCGGTCTATTAATGATCACTGCAAGAGCACAGTTGTGTAACTTAGGAGAGAAAGTCTTCATTAGGGATAACAGAGAATGGGAGGGGGGAAAAAAGTAAATGGGAAACAAAAGAAAGAGCCAACTGGAAATACAGAAATATAAAATTAATCTATCCAGGGCCAAGAAAGTTGGAGCTCCCACCATGAACATCATTGTCCTTATACTGAAGCCTGGGATGCTGATGTCCAACTGCTTAAGCAAGACAGAATCCAACCATCTTAGGATGTTGGCTTTTCTTGCCATACAAAATCACAAATCTGGAGACTAATGTCTATTTTGAGTGGTTATGGAGCAGTGCTTGTAGAGAGAACACTTCCTTTAGGAGATGGGGAGATTTTATGAGGAGAAACCAGCATCATTCAGGACACCACAGGTAACTACTACAAGGGCTGTTTTCTACAGTGGCATAACCAAAATGGGACAGGAAAGCATCAACTTCTTGAGCAGAGGATTTCTCAGCAGTACTTTCCCAGGCTTTCTGGGTTGTCCCTTCAAGGCCTTGCATAGAGGCACATGTCTTTCTAACAGGTCTCTCACGTAAACTTTCTCATAACAAAAGCTTAAGAAAAATGAAAACTTCTGCTTCAGTAGGGCCCAAGACAAGAATACACCTTAAAAAGGAAACTAAAATAAAAAATCTTTTTTTTTCTTTCACATGACAAGTAACAAATAAAAGTGAAAAATATTTACAAATCAGAAGTCTTATGAGAGAAGCAAACCAAAAGCAAACAAGAGTCCAGTTCTCAGGTATAAACAATGAGAAGATAAGTGGGTGGGTTTGCTCATTACAATCTTCAGACAACAGCACGGGAGAGAAGATCCTGGTGTATGCTGGTGTGTTACAGAACTCTTCTCTCCCATACTGAGGGTGCTACCATGTAGTCTGTGAAACAAAAATATGATTGCACAGTGCTTTTTTAATTTTTAAATCAACAGTTTAGACAAAATTAAGCACATCAAATCTTGCCTAGCTCAAAACAGAAACATTTGTTTAAACAGTGAGATTATGTTTAAATGTTTTAGATGTTTCCTCCAGCTGAACAAGGCCTACCAAACACATGTGAATGCACAAACTTGTCTGAAACATATGTGACTAGCATGTCAAAAAACCTTCTGGATGTATAATTTGAGGATGCCTAAACAAATGGATAAAGTCAGGTTTGAATTAGCTCCTTTCATCTATTGATGAGCTAACTCCAGCAACACTGCTGAGTTAGTAAGGTAGTCTGCCCAAATGGCGCACCATACCTTGAGAAAATAAGTGCAATGGGCATTCCCTGGAAGTAAATGTAAAAGAAAACAGGAATGCATAGACTGTGGTAAGCCCTCTAATAAGATGTTAAACATGCTATTTAGCAGATGAAACAATCAGAAAACATAAAAAAGAATGAAATACATTTTCATGCAGCTGCCCTTCAACATCACAGGTAAGATGAAAGTGCCCTGTAGGAGTGACAAGACAGTCTGCCATGTCATACTTAGTGAAGGGACTATAAAATCAGAAGGAAGCTAATTTCATCCTGCCATAGTGCTATTACAGGTTCCTTTGACTTTCTCAAAATACTATCTGTTTTTCTGCAGAACTCTATTATGCAGAATTTGTTGAAGCACAGGACAGCAATTCCTTAAATGTAATGCTTAACCTGCCCTAAAACCACCAATAGATGAGCTTACAACATTGCTCAGTCTTCATTCATCTGGCAATTCCCTCTCCATTGTTCTCCTTTCCCCTACTCCTCCCCCATCCCAAATTGCTTTTTCTCATCTCTCTTTTGGCCTGCTCCTGAGCATCACAGTTTAAAACAACCCAGGGCTCTAGTTTTAAGTTTATTTCTGTAAATAGTATAGAACAGATATTACCTGATTTTTGAAAGGGGTAGATTATAAATTTGTATATACTGAATAATTTCATCTAAAAGGCGATCTGTCATGGAATCAAAATCAGCAAAGGTATCATTCTGTAAAATAAAAGAAATAAAAAATAATAACTGTATTTTCTAATGCAGCAATATACATTCTGCATTCAGTCTGAATTCTTACTCCCCAGTGTTTCGATCAACAGCACACAAATAAAAGCATCGATATTAACTCTGAATACAAACACTACAGCTAGTTATTATAAATTTTCATGTCATTTTCTTGTAACACAGAATAAAGTGATACACATTTTACTGTAAGACTACTTTCTTCTAAAATACCAAAACAAATCTTTATATTACACACCCAGCCTTCTAAGCTGTTCTCTACACTTAAGATTATCTGTAGTGAAACAGAAGGCCAAACTGCTTACACAGAATTATATCACACTGCCCATGAAATAGAGATGAGACAATTACTGTGACAGCAGTCTACAGTAATACCAGTTATGCAAAATGAAACAAACAAACAAAATTCTTAAGGCCTTATCCTCAGTTCATAGCAGATTCTCTCCAATGATCAGCAGTAAGAAATTAAAAGAGATAGGCAAAGCCTGCCTAGAACTTTTCAACTCAAGTTCCAAAGGATCTGTGCTAAAATCTGTAGTGTTTATCATATTGGTAAATGATCTGGGAAAGGAAAGGAGATGAAAAATCAGTTTGTAGGCAAAACTAAATATCCAGGGTAGTCATATCTAGAATCAACCAGAATTTCACAAGAATCTCATACTATTGAATGCCTGGGTGATAAAATGACAAGAAATGCAAACAAATGTTACACAGAGAAAACCAGCCCTAACTGTATATGCAAGCAATAATGTACATGTCTGTGTTGCATATAATCAGCTATGTTAGGAAAGCAAGGAAAGAAAATAGCAATATAGCATTTTGTCAGTTCAAAGTGCAAAATCCAGGGCAGATCTAGAACTAAAATGGAATGATTAGAAATAGAACAAAAAAAAGAATGATCAGAACTAGATGGGGCATCTTAAATGCCTTGAGCATTTAGAACTTGTCTAGTTCTGATCATTCTATTTTCATGACAAGAAGTTTCAAGTGGGTCAGGAAGGGTACGTTGGATGAACAGAAACTTTCCACATCTAATTGTTAGAAATAAAAAATAGACAAGTCTCTTCAGTTTCCTCCTGAGGGAGAAATTATACTTGCTTATAAAGTATGTGATTAACTGAAGCAGTGAATGAGGAATGATTATTGAGTGTTTTTTCCAAAACAAACTATAAGGTAAATTATTTCTATTTCCTTGTTTGCAACTGAATTACTAATGTATATAAACCACAGAATGAATCTCAACTGTATGCCATGGATACATAAGTAAAAAGATTCAAAAAGAATCAGCCAACATTAAGGAGAAAAGTCTGTCAGCAGCTATTAGGCTCAGTGGTCTCAATGGAATCCACAAATCAGAAAGCCTCACAGCTGCTGACTGACACAAACTATAGGGCTAGAGAAGAGAAATCCTGGCTTGGTCCCTGTCCAGCCTCTTTCACAAAGCATCCCAGCAGCTACTGCCAGAAAAATGCTAGTGCACTAAATGAAGCTTTTGTTTGAGCCACTGACAAGACTTTGTTCTAGTTCATCTCTGAAGTATGTCTAATACAATATGTAATACACATGCACACAGACAAAAAGTAAAAATTGGTCTTTTGTGCTTTGGCAAGTTTACTTCATAAGAAAATAATAAAATTCACAGAAGTTTAACTCAAGAGGTAATTTGTTCAGTGTTATGATGTAGATCTTGCAGAATGCTGACAAAGAACAAATGACGGAATTTTGTATTTCTCAGATCCTCTGAAATAACATATCTCCCTTCTTGCCACACCAGTTTTCACTATTGCCATTTTAACCACTAGTATTGAGCATATTTTATCCACAATCCAAACTGCTTATGCTGAGAACTTAGCAGACACAGTACACACAACAAATGTTACCCCTTAAAATATTTACCTTCAGTACCATACAAGATTTTGTAATTACTTTGACACAAGCCACAGATCAAATAATGGCTTCCATGAGAATACAACAAAAATGTACAAAATGTAGTAAACACAATAGTGCAATTAAATCAATGTGTTTGAAGGTTTACACTGTTCATAGTTTTACAAAAATTCTTTTTTAGTTGGCAAATACCTGATTCCTTTCAGACATAAGAAATTCAATTCTTCCTCCAGGCAGCCCTAGCTCAATGTAAGTCTTCACTAATCTTAGATCTGCACTGTTACCTTCAAAGGAAAAACAATCAAGAGTTAGATTCTGCAAAGTTAACTTGCAATAAAAACACTCAGAATACTGAAATTAATCTCTGGCAGAGCTTTATATTTAAACACAGCTAATTATAGTCTCAGCCATAATTAAAATTCAATACGACTTTGAAAGATAAACTAGAATGTCAAATTAAGTGACAAAATGGTTTATGAAAATGACATTCAATGCAAACACTTTTAAAAAAGCAAGGATGTAGGAAGTCATGCTCGATTCTGTCTTAGCCTCCAACTGATACATAGCACTGTGAACATTACATTCTTGGAAACCTAATTAATTTTGATAAAGCCAATTAAAGAACTCAAAGTAAGCTTAAAGAATTCAGTGAAGGAGTATTTAATAAAATGAAAAGGCAGAGTGAACTATCAGTGGATAAAGATACTTTTAGATACTGTGGTACCCAAAACAACAAATGCTAGCATCTGAAGATTTGAACTTGCATCCTGAAGATTTTTCTACATCAGTAGTCATGGATGCTTTTGAAGAAAGGGTAGCCTTTTTGCCTTAAATAGAGAACAGGATTTTTATTTATATCTGTCATGTATAGGAAATAGCTTGTAAAAGCTCACCATTTCATAAGAAAATTCTAACTATGTGGACTTTCCTAAGGCTTCAAACACATGTTTTTTTAACAACAGCCTTCTTGGACAAGCTAATTTTTGTGCCACTTCTACATCCAATAGCACGAGAATATCTGCACTAGTAGAAGGGAATACCTCTGAGTCCTGTTTTTAAAAGTACTTAACAGAAGCTGCTTTCTGCCCAAATGAGGAAAGAAAAACTATGCTGTTTTTTTTTTTTTTTAACTTAGGATTTTGAAAAATGAAGGAGGTGCCTGTGTAGTGTTGGTGCACTCCAATACTCTATTCTACTGCCCTCTCGTGTTTCCTTACATTGTTAATTTAAGAAGTGTCTCAAAAATGCACAAAAGCTAGAGGGGATATTGTTTCTTAATATACATATATGCTTTGAACTAAAAGCAGGTGAAAATATTCAAACTATTTAAACTTTATAACCCTTTCATTTAAAAAGAGATTTTTCTCACTTCTATCACAGTAGGATCTTTGTAGATTCTTGGAAATATTCAAAAACCCAGCTGGGTTGCATCCTGGGCAATCTGCTGTAGACTGCTCTGAGCAAGGAAGTTGAACAAGAAAATCTTCAGTGATCCCCTTCACCCTCAACCACACTGTAATTCAGTGACTTGACCTTTTAAAACCTTACAAACACTTGACTGTGTTTTACACGTACTATTTCTTTTTCCTAACAAGATGCACCTATTCCATTTTTCTTGACAACACAGCAATTCTAAAGAAAATAGTTTTATCAGTAACTCCATTCTATTACCACAACATGGACAAATTCCTTTACAACATAAAAAACTGAAAGATGCACCTGATGTGAACTATGGTATTAAACAGACTTATGTGCAGGGAAGTTTTATTAAAGAAAGAGAATTCTTAATTTAAAAGATTTTATGGAACAAATTGTCAAATGTAGCAGTACCATGTCAAATTCCCATTTCCCTCCAGTGAACCTATTTCAGGTCTTCAATTCAGAGTTTGAATAACTAAAGCTAAATCTCACTGGTAATCTGAATTGCTTTTTTGTACAGTATCACGTTTCTCAGCATACCATCTAGGCCATGGACACAAACTATAAGATGTACTCCTTCTTCTGAACACTCATCGTCTTCCATACTGAAATAAGGTATTGAAGAAGCCAGTTTGAAAACATCACTATACATAAATCCAGGAAGTTTAAGTTGCCTCAATTCTTCTTTAGCCTGGAGGAAACTGGAACATAAAAAATACTTATTATACATTTACTATTGCTAGATAAATGTGAGGTCTTCCAGGACACAGTTTCCTACAGTCATTTTGCTTTGTATTCTATGTAATTAATATGAAGGAAAATATATTTATCAAATTACTATTTTCACAAAATAAGACATTTCCTCAGAACATTTTATTGCAGATTCTTACAGCCCCTTTTCCTCTGTAACAAAAACCATATCTGAAGCTCTACTCTCTCCTCTCCTTTGACTATCTTTGCAAACTCTCAAGTATTTCTGAAACCACTGAAGATGCTGGGTTCATTATGGTCTTGAGCAAACAACAACTTTGTTTCCATGCAATAAAAAATTATAGAAATTATAACCAATTGGAAGTTAAGGTAAAGATTTTCACTGGCTTTTGATAATTCTTGCCAAGCCTATTTTTAGGTCAGAAGAGAGCTGGAATCAGTGCTGTTATGTCTCACCATAAGGTCCCTGTGGTAGGCTGAAAAACTGACACCTGCTTCTGAAACAGCCAGATCCAGACTTCTGATCTCCTACCTATACTATGAAGGCATACACTATAAGGTTTTTAATAACTGAGATCCTCACATGCTAGGAGCTCCTTGTGTTCCTTCCTCCCTTTCTTCCACTTTGATTAGTTTCTGTGCATGGCCTTTCTAATTGCATATCAGTTTTCCTGCAACACAGAAAGCTTTGTGCTTCCTTATGCATCCTTAATCCATCTGTTCAGCATGATCCCTTACGGCATCATGCTGTACCCCATCCTCTTCTGCCTGCTCACCATTTCCCTCCCATTCTACCTTTTGCTCTCTGTTTTCCCAGCTTTAACTTTAGCCCATTCTTCACTAACTGGCAGGAGCAGGCCTCAGTGAAGTCAGCCTGAACAGAAACCACTCCTGACAGCTGCTCTTATCACTCTGCAACAGAAGCTACTTGAGTTTGTACTCAAGGCATGTTTCCTGAACACACCAAGAGTGGTTCTTTATGGAGCAGATCATACCCTCTGGATTCACAGTTATCTCATATTCCATGGGACTCTGTTTTTCCCATAGCCAAGTCCTTGATTTTATTCCAAGTTCACTTTTATTGTTACAGAACAGCCTGAGTAGTCTCTGTTCTTCATCTTTCCCATTCTACACCAATACCACTGTACAGTATTTCAGAAGCTACTTTTCTGGCCACTTCTAACCTGTTTTCCTCCACCTGACTGCTTACTCCTTCTTTCTGTTATCAAGCTGCTTTTCACAAACTATCTGGTTTTCTGTCTCTTCCACCTGCTCAGCATTTGTTTCTACCTCTCTTTTAAATTTTCTTTTCTCTCACAGTAACATTTTACTTCCAATACAACACATAAGCTGCTGCTTCACATGTTTATTTAGCAGCAGGAGTTTATCAGGGAAACTCCTATATTTACATCAAGAAGAGGTACAATCTGGGATCCCTGACATTCCTCTAAATTTGGCTTTCCTGGTCTCCAAACTGCAGCGTAATTTAGAGCACTGTGGTCTCTGAGGTGTTACATTTTTGATATTTGAAGTTAAGATTTAAAAATAAGGCCATTAGCATAGCTTGTATTACACATTTGCTTCACTTAGCTAATCTGATTGACAACCAATTACACAATGTTTTTGGATTTATGTTTTTAAAGTCAAAGCATATTTTCCCAAGCTAGCTATTTTAACAATTTCCATTTCATAAAACACCATTTTTATGCTTAGTACCCTTTACAACATCATTCTTCAGCTGGATGTTTATTTTTTAAATGTAACAAAGAAAAATCCTGTTTTGCTTGTTTTTCAAACCACATGAAATAACAAGATAATTTACAGAAGTATAGTGCTAAAACACTTTTTATCTGAACACCTAGAACATGCTGTTACTTGGGCATGCAGAATACAGAAGCCACAGTTCTGGGGCATTCCACAGCCCAACCATGTTTCTTTTCCCCTTCTCTATTATAGTAACATAATTTCTAAAAGTAAAAAGCTTGTTTAAAATAATCACTTACGCTAACATTTGAGGTTTTGGGGAGCTTTCATACCAGGAAACAGCTGAAGCTGAGCTGTAGGATGTGCTGCCTGGCTGTTGTGTAATTGCATCAGATTTATTCTTTGAAGAAGAGGTAACATTGCAGGGAGAGTCTCTCAGAGAAGAAGGGAAAGACAAACAACCAGGAGTACAGACAGGGGGCACAGTCATTATGTCTTGCAGGTGTCCACTGTCAATCATTTCAGGTCTCAGGGCTCTCTCTTCTGCTAAGCCATGATCTCGGTCAGCACTGCATGCTCCATCTAATATACTATAATCAGTTTCTTCATAATACCCATTTTCAATCATTTCTTGATCCTCCTCTTCTTCCTCATCTTGTTGGGAAGAACAAATAATTTGTTTTTCATATGCTTCCTTTTGAGGGCTAACAGGATTGCTGTTGTTCATAGGCCAAATATCTGAAATATCTGTGCTGCTTTGAGAGCCAAAATAGTTTTCAACAAGCCCTTGCCTGACCATGTCAGCACTACCAGCTGGAGGATTATCTGTACCAGTTTCACTTTTACCTTCTGACAGTTCTTCAGTTGTGCCCTTAAATTCTAAGGGCTCATCTTTGTTTGTTTTTTTAACCGCTGCATTTACAGGTGAAGAACCTGAAACAGCAGATGGCTCACCCATACAAGCTGTTTCCAAACACAATTTAACTGTTTCTCCAGCAGCTCTAGGATGCCTTTCAAGGTCCTGAGGATCCTTGCGGGTTGTGCCAGGGCCTGTTTGTGGGCCGCAACTTTCCACATCAGTAGGCGTGTCCTCATCTGAAACAACCAAGTGTAACTGATCTTTTTTTCCTGAGAGTGAGGAATGTATAGACAGAGTTTTGTTATCCAAGTGCCCTGAATACACAACAAGCTGTTCCTGCAAATTGGTGTTTGATGTTTTCCTGTCATCACATTTTGGCAAGTCAATTGCTCCTAGATCCAATACTGTTTTGCTGTCACTTATCTGGCATTCAGGTACAACAGACATCTTTGAATTCTCATCAGGTGACAGCTCATCATCATCTGAAGGAAGTGAATTTATGGATGTCAGGGATGACTGTATTTCACTTACAGCACTTGTACTCTCAGTGCAATGGCTTTCGATTGTGTTTTTTATTGCACAGTCTGGTTTTAATAAAGGCTGAGGAAATGCTCTCTCACCATTGTGTCCATGAACATTTTCAAAAACATGATCAGGGTTGGGATGAGTTGCAAAAGAACTCGGTTCACTTTCTACACCTGAATCTGAAAATCTAGAAGAGGCATATGTCACACTAAGATCTGGTAATTTAGTCATGTCTCCACTTGCAGAGATTTGACTTTCTTTTGTTGAAAGAGTAGGTGGATTGCTTTTCATTTTTGTCAAGACATCACTGGTATGCTGGCAATTTCTCTCATGGACCTCTTCCTTTTCAAGCATAGGTTCCTGTTCTCCCAAATTCAATTTATTTCTAGATTCTGAAGACTGAACATTGGGTGTCAGCAAATTATCTTCATGCACTTCATCTTGCAGAAACTTAGCCCATGATCCAGTGTGAGCCACTCCTTTCTCCTCTTCATAAAGATTCTTATTACTTAGTTTGACCTCAGTTGTCCTGACTCCAGAGGACGCTGGTTGAGCCCCACGACAACCTTCAAGTGTACCTCCGTGTTGTAAAGCACTATCTGCTTGAACAGCTCCAGAACCAGTCTGGGAGATTGTCAGTCTATCAAAAATAGCCTCATTTTCACAGTGTACAGGACTTCTTGGACCTGGTTGGTCACCCTCAATCTTGACAGCCATTTCATCATATGGCAACAATGGAAGGTCTCTTCTAGTTATTTGCCTGATACAGGCCTTTGTATCACAAGGAATTCCACTTACTCCAGGGTCCAGCCCTTCATTAGCACTGTATGAAGGCTCACCATCTAACCTTCTACAGGCATTTTCCAGTGCTGCACTTATCAAACATTTGTATCCTACTAACACCACAGAATCCTTTGAGTTCTGTTTTACAACTTTTTTTGTGTTTTCAGCTTTCATTGTTTTTATTAGTTTAGCAACCTTAGCTTTGGATTTATTTGTATCTTCATTTTTCCCTTTGAAGGTTTTTGTTAGCATCTTTTCAGCTTCTGAATGCCAAAAGATAGAGGCACCAGCAGGTCTCATTTTCAGTTCTGGGCTACTAAAACCAGCAACAAAACCTTCTTCAGCTTCTAATTTATCCAGTTTATTGGACTCTGCCTTTGGAACACTCTGAGCTACTAACCAGGGTACATCCAAATCTTTCACAGAAAAGGGGAGAAAAGAGAAAGTATGTTTCAATAAGATTATGCAGATAAGTGATGCTATAACACACTAGCAATTACAGAATTTTACACATCCTCAAAACTCAAGCTAAACCCCCATATCCTACGAAATAAATTTAGTCCTTTAGAGCCAGCAAGAAATTTATTAAAAAACCCTCAAGTTTTACATAAATTTTCTAATTTCTTCAAAAAGGAAATTGTACTGTGAACTGTGTTTACCTTCAGTAACTGAATCTAAATACCGATCTTCAAAGATGATAGGCAAGGAGTTCATATCTCCATCTAATTCACTGCATTCAATAGGGAGGGGTGGAAGAGAACTGCAGAAGGAAATGTTTTTGATAGCTGCACACACCTGTAGATGACTTTGAGCACTGAAAAAAGGAAGCAGTCCTCCATGAAAAGAACAGAACTATTTATATTTACATTAAGAGAAATTACCAACAGTTTAATTCATTTTAGCAGAAGCTTTTCTAGTAATTATTATTAGCTTGATTATTTAATAACTTTTTATATAACTTCCAGTACTTTAAATCTATATTGAGAACCAAAATTTCTCTTGAATTTCTTATGTACTTTTGCAATGCTACTTCTACACAAGAGAAACTATACAGTAACAGTACTACATGCTATATAAAGGCTACTCACTGTAGTTCTTGAAAGGCAAGAGCAGCTTGCCTAGGATGCTCAAAGCAAAAGAACGCTTCAGCAAATCTGCGCACCTGCAAGATCCAAATGAAGGCAGAGGTTATTTCACCTTACAGATAATTTTTAAAAATCCACCAGCATTCCTATGGATCAATGTTTTATGATTTGTATGTATAATACAGACAGCTATTTTTTTTTTTTAGATGTTCAGTTCTGGATTGGTGACACAGACAAGACTAGTGACTGAAATAATTTTAATCTGTCCTCTGGATAACTGGGAATTATATTAGACTCAACTGCCTGCTGAAAATTTTATTTCCAATAAATCAATCATCCAAATCAGGCACAAACAATAACACACAAAACTATTACTGGAATTTTCAATTGGAAGAAAGGAAATGACTGTTCAATTCACACTTCTGAATGAGCCTGTTCAATTCACACTTCAGAAGCAGAAACACATTCAATATTCTGCAGTCTCAAAATTATAGAGGAGTGTTTTAAACTTTCTGTAAGTACCCTCTAGCCCACAGTAAACTACTGTGCAAAAGAATCTTGTTTGCAAAGATTTCAGCTGGAAATGTTGAAGACAGTAACTGAATGTACATTAATTATAAGCACTGTATTAAAGACTTAATTGTATGTTTGAGGTCAATAAACAATACAATACTGAAGTGGTATTTAATAATGCATGAGAGTATATATTTTTTTACCATCAAATGTGTTAAACCATCAATATTTTACCATCAAATACATGGTAAAATAGAGAATGTGAATTATACAGCAATTTGCTGCAATTGAAAACATAATCAATGTACTTAAAATGTAGTATCTAGAAACACCAAAGGTTTTGTACAAGATTTCTCACATTTCCAATATTCTACATAAATATTAATTCAATCAATATGCATTTTATTTTTGCAACTGCCAAATTACCTGCATCTAAAACAAGCAAACCAAAGAGATTGTGCTGCACAATGGTTGTTGGCAACAGCTTGTTCGTTAACATAAATTTGGTTGCATCAATTTAAACATAATTTCTATCCCACTTAGAGAATTACATGCTAGTCTCCCAAATAATTTATCAAGTGCCTCCTGACCTCCTACACCTTTATTTCTTAAATATACTCCAGGTCTTCCTCTTAAATGATGGAACTTCCTGAACAGACTGTGGGAGTTTTCAGCGTGAAACTGGCAACAAGTGTGAAGACCTAGTTCAGCTCCCTCAGCTCTCTCACTCAGAGGTACAGCCAGCACCTGCACCCATCCTGAGCACAAACATAAATCTCTGAAAATCTTGTCCATGAACTGGCAAACATCAGACTTTCAGGACCACATTAATTTTGTTCAGAGATAAGCACTTGCATGGGATTTCATTTTCCCTCCTGATACACTGGCCACTATTCTTTTAGAGAGTACCACTTGGATTAAGTTCTGTAGCTTCTGCATTTTTTTGTTTTCTTAATACAAGAAGAGCTGTGGAAAAAAATTTTCCAAGGTACTTAAGAAAAAACCCAATCCCAAATCACAAACATTTTATCCCCAATCTCTAACTTGTAATCGAACCTGAAAATCCTGTCCCAATTTCCAAGAATTTATTGTACTGTATTACGTGAAATTAATCTTAGTCATAACATCATCTCTGAATAGTCATGGAAAATGCTTTAAAGTAAAAAGAAAACATAAAATTCAACAGTTTCTTGTAAATGCAACTTCCATTCTTGCCAGAACTCAATTTGCTTTTTTCAGAATTTGTTGTTAGGAGTTTATACATACACATGTGGGATTAGAATTGATGTTCCCAAGTAATTTGCTGCATTTTCCCAGCTGGCTTTTCTAAACAGACATCTACCTTGCAAATACATGATTTTTTTCTAAGGTAATCCCTACCCTTTCCCCCAGAAAGGAGGGAACTATTGTTATACAATAGACTTAACAGATAATTTTACTGCTTAAAAACTAGATTTTAGAACAAGTGATCAGGAAGAGTGGACATTATCATTTTAATTTAAGCAACTTAAAAAATAATTAAAGATCCTAATCAATCAGGTAATAGTTACAGGAACATTGCCAAATTAGTAGACGTCTATGGTGTATGTTAAGAAAAGGGCACACAGCTGTTTTCCAAGCAAAGTAATTTTGAGTTTACATGTGAGCACTTCACCACATAAACTAACTGGAGTTACATGGAGAGTAGGTCTTTAGATTACTGCACTCTCTCCAACAGAAGAGGAAGTCATTTTTTTATTTGCAATAAATCCCATTTAAAATTAAGTAGTTCCTGTGCTTCTGAAGAAAATCTAAATTCCAGCTCCAGACAGCTCCACATAGAATAGCAACAGTATAAAACTAGTTGAAAGCAAGCTCCTAAAGCACATAAGTCTTTATTAGTGACAGAAGAGAAACCAAATCAACAGTAGTTTATTATGTTTAATAGGTGCTTAACTTACTGAAGGACTGAGGCACTTGCTAGGACACAGAACCAGAATGACTGCCAGCTGTTAGTGACGCAGGAACTGACTTGAGCTGACTCCACAAGGACTTTGCAGGAGGAAGTTGCAGCTGTTACTCCTAATCTCTAGACTTCCCAAAGGCATGGTTTTTATGGTCCTCCCAATGTAAACAGAAGAACTGTGTATAAAAACTGCTGTGGAATACATACTGTGTGTCTACATATTTATGAATAGCAGTCAGAGATCTTAGTTTTCAACTCTCCTATTTTAGGACTAATCAAACTGAAATAAATAATTTTGGAAGAATATATTCAGACCTACCAGAAGATGTCACTACAGAATAAAGAGATGAACTAGTTTAGTGTTCAAATGTTTGGTAGTATAAAATAACATATTCTGAGCAGTTTTCTCAATAAAATACATTTGTAAACTTTATCAGGTTGATCAGTATGATCCATGTAGTAGATGGATGTTCAATTTTAAATTGTTCCTTACTTTTTAATGTAGTGCTTTTCCAGAGTTAATAGTTAAATACTGAAACACTTAAGTAAACATAAGTAAAACTATTAAAATAATAATTTCAATACTTGAACAACTCTTCAGCAGAAATACCTGGTTTATAAACATCTGTGCAAAGAAGGTGAAAGTCATTTCACCAGGTGGCCTTTCTAGGGGGTATTTTAACACAAGTATCTTAACCACTCAGATTAATCACTCCCTCAAAGTGTTCATTCGTAAATGTTCCCAGGGAGAAATTTCCTGTGGAAGGTATAGTCTAGAAATATTTTAAGAAGAAAAGATAGAATGAGATTTAGCATCCAGTAGCGAACACATCAAAGTATCCATTTCCAAAATAAAAAAGTTTCTTATTCCAGAAAGGACAAGTTAAGTGTCTTAAGAGGAGAATTAGTGGGTCATCTTTAGCCTGAAGAAAAGGAAGCTCAGGGGAGACTTCATTACTCTCTACAACTACCTGAAAAGAGGTCGCAGCCAGATGGGAATTGGTCTCTTCTGCCATGTCCCAGGTGGAAAGACAAGAGAAAATGGCCTTAAGTTGTGCCAGGGGAGGTCTAGGTTGGATATTAGTATTTTTTTTTTCACAGAAGGAGTTGTAAAGTACTGGAACAGACTTCCCAGGGAAGTGGTGGAATTGCCATCTGTGAGAGCATTCAGCATACGTCTGGATATGGCACATGGGCATCTTTAGTGCTGAATGTGGTGGTGCTGGGTTGACAGCTGGACTTGACCTTAAAGGTCTTTTCCAATCTTAACAATTCCATGACACGAAATGTCAACATATAGTCTCCAAAGAGGAGAATTAGTAGATCATCTTTTAAATATCAACTAAATCCAATAACCAGAAAGCTTGCATCACTTGGTATGTGCATAATGGCTCCAGTGGAACATGATCATCAATGTAGATTTCCTGAGGTATGTTTATACAATCCCTCTGAATATAAATTCTCAAGATATTATTAATAAAAATTACAATTTATTACACTAAGCACTGCAAAAAAGATCCAAAACCAACAACTGAACATACTCTCAAAAAACATAGGGCTGAAATTTAGCATCTCTTTTTCATTTAAAGATTTACTGAATTTATGGATTGTGAGTTCCTGCTCTACTGCCACATGGGAAGCCCAGTGAGCAACGGTTTCTTATATGTATTTTAATTTCATATATTTGCAAAGTATTCACACAAACTCATATCATCTTGGAGTGCAGAAAACAAGTGTCCATTTAAAAATGAAGTACGATCACATTGCTGATTCTAACTTGGCTCAGGTAAGAATTCCTTCTGAATGCTGTATTATGCAATTCTTACAGAGTCAGCTTGCTTGCTTTCTGCTGTCAGGCACTAAATAAAAATGTAATTTTAGGATTACCCATGCCTTGAATCTCCTCTCCAGTCTTTGATTGATTATAGGTATCCACAAAGTACAGTGACAGATAACAAAAGGAGTGAGCATAACAGCAACTCAAAATGATGCAGAGTATGCAGATGTGAAATCAAATGATACTATTTATTTTTCATAGGGAGGAAGGGGACTCTGAATTTTTTTTCAAACTGGAAAGCATCATAGAAATACTCTTAATATGTTCAGTATCTCAATTCCCATAGTATAATGAAAATACTTCCTAAAACAATTGCAGGAAAACTCAATAATTAAAGCATTTATGAGCTAAGGAGGATGACTTACATCACAGATTTTAAAAGAACCACATTTAAGAAGATAAATGCATAATCATTAGGAGTGTCTTTTCTGGAGCAGTAAAATTAATATATTAATTCTACCTTTTGTTTTATTAAACATAAATTTGTACAAACAGTAACATGCCAGCAGCTGAATCCAAATGCAGGTTAAATGAAACAGTGTTCTTGTTTCATACCTTCCACCAGTTAACTCAAGGGATCCCAGTATTTATACAAAAACCACAGAAAGGTAAGACAGACAATAAAATGACACCTTTCTTATGGCACATCAAACAAATAACCCTTGCCTTCTTTCTGAAAGATTTCATTTCTTCTCCATAACTATTTCCAAAACCACGATTTCCTCACTAAACAATGTGATTTATCAAGTAAGAGTAATGCTTTAGTCCATACTCAATTATATTTCACTATGGGAAGATCACTGCTGTGGTTCTGCTTGCAGAGAGCCCACAGCAATTGCACACACCCATAGACAGACCAACAGCACTATAGATGTGTTAGTGTACACACACACATACTCACGGGCCAGATCATTTCACATACACTTCTTTTACAAAATCCCATGTAAAAGACTTTTCAAAACTTATTAACATCACAAGTTCTTAATTCAGAAAGAAATACACTTTATTTATGATGCAAGCAGGCAGCCTAAATGCAGCAGAGAAGTAAAATGTAGGGTGGGCACTAGACATGACTCCCACAGAGAAGTACATCAGTCTGCACAAATAAATGTCATTCCACAGCCTGCAATCTGCCTTCTGAACTGCATTACTTATTCAAAAGAACAGTGAATTACTTGGTTCATAAACATAAATAATATGTTTTATGCATTATATTCCAACATAATACATTATATACAAAGTAACAAATGAAATGCAACATCTCCCTCTACAATTCCAACCAGTTCTCTGAAATATAAACAGAAAAATGGTAATCTGGAGTCTCATTTTGATAAGCATTACCATAACAATGTGTCCTAGTCTTCAGCGTATGAAGGTCCCTGGGTCAATACTTACTCTTAATGTGTGATGCTCTTGTGCTAGCAAAGCTGTGACCTCCTCTTGTAAGGTAATGACCTCCAGAAACTGCCCCCAGAGAGCCATCAGAAGTGAGCAAAGCTGAGCTAGATTCATATTTATAAGTTCTGCCAGTTCATCAGGATTTTCCATTTTCTGAAGTCAGGAAAAAATATTTACATGATTAAGTGATGAAACCATAATGTACACACAGGAATAATAATAAAATATATACTTTATCGTAGTGAAAAATTTAATTTAAAAAGTGACTTCCAAATGAGATCTGTTTCAACTAAGTATCAAAATTGGATGTCCTGGAGTTTCCTCAAACCAAGACACTGGATCAATCTATGTTACAACAATAATAGATTATTTTAAATATTTGTATTAAATATTGTCCTGTTGCTTTTTAGAATAATGACTCCTGTCCAAAAATTAAGGCAATAATTCCACTTATGGCAAAGATAACTGAGTTCAACTGTTGTATTTTGTAACATATAAAAATACTATGTGCCTGAAAAGAAGAGGAATCAGGAAACCAAAAATTAACATTTGCTATTTTAGTCCAAAGCACAGGCTTCCTAGAACCAGATCACACCAAGACAAATTTGGTGTGAAACAAGTTTTGCTTTCTTTGCAATGTACTGTAATCCTGTGATACAGTCCCACAGCAATTGTAGATAGTTAGGCTTATGTGCCCTGCCATTTTAGAAAATAACACAGTTTTTCAGAAACTCATTGTAGGTCTATAAGGCACTGAGGCAAAGGGTTTAAAATTAAAATATAGTAAAGAATCAACTCTAGCAATATTACAGAGCTAGTATAAAAAAGGATTGGGGATATACAAACACCAACTTAATCAACAATAAGAGAAATAAGAAACTTTTTATAAGAATTGTGCAAAACAGAATGAAGGAAACAGAAAATGTTTAGCAAGCTAAGGGAGAAACCAACTAATTCAGAGAAGCTATGTAAGTATAAAAACTATTTTAATATATAAAATAAGGTTATTAGTTGCCCACAGAGAGCTAGCAGTGCTGAATTTGTCTCCAGTTATATAAATTACATCCTTTTAAAGGCCATATTACATTTTCTTGCGGTTATACTACTATTGCAGTAACTAAAGGTGAGCTTCCAAGTTGGGCAGATGGCCCACATGCCAGCAAAGGGTGGATAAACTTTCAGAGAGTTTTAAAACCTGTCCTTTAGACTTCGTCATGACCAAGAAATCAGTTATTCAGCTGGGGCTAATTCTGACTAATGAGAGAGATGGGAGGCAAATCTAAGCCATTTAAATTAGAGAGTGTTTCCTTAAGAATGTAGGGAAAACAGGAAAAGGGGACAGCATCAGAACAAGTACTTTTAGATGAGGGGATGACTTGCAGAATTTCCTTTTGTTAAACCTACTACTGCTTGATCTTGCATCATTGTTATTTGATACCATCAAATCCCAAAAAATCAAATTATAACTGCAGAAAATTCGAAGTGTGATTTTTATACAAGTAATCCACCTTTCTAAACTTTCATTTTCATTATATAAATAGTTACACAGCTACCACTGACACACCAGATCAACAGTTCAGTTTTGGTGTCAGCTGCACAATTTCTCTTTGGAGGAAGAGTTTAAATAAGTGCTGGGAAAAAACATAGATGCTGTCATCCCTGAAACAAACAGTTTATTCCCAAGTGGCATATAAAATCAGCACATTTTACTTTTATAGTTATTTCACTTATTTAATAGATGAAAAAAGCCCTGTACCTTGACTTCTTCACACAATTCTGTAAGACGAATTTCTACATCTATGTTTTCTGAAAAGATGAGAGGACATACCCATGAGTAATGCACTTTCCAAGTTGCAGAATGAAACATGTTATCTCACAAAAACAATTTTAAGACATGAAAAAGAATTCATCAAATAAAACTTGAAGCCATATTAAATGCCACAGTTGCTAAGTAAACCATAAAACTTTCCATTAAAATTCTTATAGCTATTTCTGAGATTGAGGACATAACATAATTAAGAAAAAAAATTTGCAATTATCATGATCGCTTATCATGATACCTTGTCAAGAACAGCAATTTTCCATTTAAAATTAAATATGCAAATACTGTACTTTAGATAATACGGTTTTCAGATTATCCACTGAAATTCAGCAGCAATGTCATAATTTAATACCAAGGTAATATAATTCGCCTTCTATCAGATTTTCTACAAAACCCTTATTCCCATATAATTTTTCTAAATGTATATCATTTACAAGATACATGAATAAAAATACAAATCTTTAGTTGTATGAGGAACTTTTTTAGTTAATAAAACTATTCTTTAAGCAATCTCTCAGTAGCTCGGTGTTAAGAGCAAATCAATCTAACACAGCTTAAACAGCAGCTTAAACTGGATCTGAACCTTGAATGACTCATTTATGGAGACTACAGATATATTCCTTCATGAAGGTATTTTTCCTTGCTCAATAGCTCTTTTTATTCTGGGGGATTTGATAAATCAGATAACAATGTGGTATTATGTTTAATTTCCTTCTGCATCTGAAGTATGAGTAATAAGGGAACAATTAATAAACCCCAAAATTGCCTGTAACAAGAATTTATATCTCATTTTTGAAACACAGTATTAAGGATAAAAATGTTTAATATTTCTTGAAAAGACACAGCAACAAAATATGCTTTGAAAGCCCCAATAGTAGCTTCAAGGTCTGGATAATGAACAAAGGTTTACAGAACAGCAACAGTGTGTATACTGAACTTCTCTTTAATTATGCCACCTATACTTGGTAAGTATATATTGATTTTGAACTAACAGCATTCATCATGCTTAGGTTTGAATTTAATGCCACACAAATTAACTCACAGAATACAGAGTTCTGAGGAAAAAAAGCAAATTTCAGAAATGCATGTTGCTCTCAGAACCAACTTGACAAAAGTGGTTTAAAGAAACTACATGTACCTTTTGCTAAACAGCACCTCATGATAATTTTTTCTGAAAATGCATGGAAATAATTTAAGCTATAATACTAATTTTGGTATGACCACACAGATCTTGTCATTAGTGAAAAAATTAAATGATTTACTTATGACATCATACTGATTATGTATTTGTCACACTTCAATTGAGAATGGGTTTGTTGAACAAGATTTAAAATTCTGAAATCTAAAATCATTATGGAAAACCCCAACCTATATTAATGTCCCAATGCTATATTAAAAAAGAGAATACAGAATAGAGCTAACACAACACAAAAGGAAATTAAGCACTTACATTCAATAGCAGTAATGTTAGCCCAGCAAACATCTGATGCAAATTTGCTGGCTCTGCTAAAAACCAGTTTGGTTTCCTTTTTATATTAAAAGCAAAACACATTTATAGTTGATTAAAATTATGACCTGCTATCCTATCCTTTTCATAACAGAAACTTCCTTGTGCTTAAGCAGCTCTGTAATGTTTTTGTCCAGCATCAAGCCCACACTGACTCTTCAGAGGGAGGACTTGCCTATGTAGTTATGGACAAATGCACCCTCCATATCAAAATTAAGATAACTGATACTGCCTTGTGTAGTGTTTGGAAGAATTAAGTCTTCAGATACCAGAAGAAATCTGAAAGATTTCTCAAAAAGAAAAGGTATTAATTATCTTTAATTAGCTAAAAATCATGAGTCTGTGTTGCATTAAATGAAACTATAATTTTAAGCTATTTTTTAAATGTTGATGACTGACTGAACTTTCAGTCATTTTTGTTTAGTAAAGTAGAACAACGCTAAACCAAAAAGCAGCAATGATGTCTCATTTTATCATCTACACTCAGCCTAAAATTTAGTAGCTCAATTCTGCAGACTTCAGAGTTCAACATATGTTTGCTATGGCTGAATATTGAAATTATTTCTTTCTACAAAAGGAGTAACATTTTATATCATTAATAAGACTATAATATTGTACAATATCAATAAAGATCTGAGGGATTATATCACCTGCTTTGGAAACATACCTAGGTAGGCGAATCTCTGGGTTCGTGGATATTTTCTTCTGAGAAGGCGTTCATAAAGGACCTGCATGCTGGCCTTGGCTAGTTACAGGGATTGTACACACATGACTAGTTACTACACTCCTTTTTTCACCTGTGATTTATTATTTGCCTTAAAGTTAGTAAAAGCTTATTGCTAGCCTAGCAATTAGTGCAGTTAGATCAGTACATGGAAACATATCATTTTAGTGTAGTTTCTAGATTAAGTATCACTTGTGATACACATTAAGATAGTGTAGATAAATTTTTTATTTCCTGAAACCAGTAATATTTAAATGTTCAATTACATTTATAGAATCCAACAGCTGTCTTCACATGCTTCTGCAAAATCAGTGCCTTGTGTTAAAATTATATGACAGAGAAATAGCAAAGCAAACAGAAGAAACAAAATTACAGAGAGGATAATTTTATCCTAAAAAAGTGATGATTCTGAAGTTTAAACAGAACTGGATATTCTCTTCTGCAATGCCCATTTAAACTTCACAGATAAAATATCCACTATAAAAAGCTAATTTACTTTAAAAATTAAAAAAGTTGCAAATTACAATTGTGTATTTTGTGAAGTCCAGTGAGCCTCAATTTCTTTACAGAAACTTAGCAGAAACTAGCGTTTTTTTTGTTAACTGCTGATGGATTTTAGAAACATTAGTGTTAATGGTAGGTATTATTTTCCATAAGCAAAATGTGAGTAATAATTAAAGCTTACATTATTAGTACTTTTTATTATATCAATTGTCCCAATCAATGTATAAACAAAATAAATGAAAAATATATTTATAAATATGAAAAAACAAGTAATTCTAGCAGACTTAAAAAATAAAAACAAAAAATTAAACGCACAAGAAACAAACTGTCAGTAGACTATGTACAATGAATGTTAAATCTAAGTTGTAATTTTATCTTCAGATATTTATTGCGACCATTTCTGTTGAAAATTACAGTCCTAAAGGTAAGCTAAGTTACCCATATAGATGAGAAAACATCTGATTCAAGTTCCACTGAAGCTTGTGAGTGGTTTTGGTGACTTCAATGTGGTTGAAAGATACAACCCAATATTGCATTGCCAGTGTGCAACTCAGTGTCTGCTTTTTTCTCTAATATATATATATATTTTGAGGGAATGTTTTAGGGGTACTGAAGATCATATCTGAAACATTTAAATATCAAGATTTAATCTAAGCCTATCCTTAGAACAACAATAGTGCCATCAAACTCAATATATTGAGCTGATAAAGCAAATCCAGAGAAGGGCAACAAGGCTGGTGAAGGGTCTGGAGCACAAGTCCTTTGAGGAGCAGCAAGGGGAGCTGGGATTCTTTGACCTGGAGAAAAGGAGGAAGCTCAGGGGAGATTTTACTGATCTTCTACAACTGCCTGAAAGGAGGTGTAGCCAGGTGGGGATCAGCCTCTTCTCCCAGGTAAGAGAAAATGGTCTCAAGTTGTACTAGATGGGGCTTATATTGGATATTGGGAAAAATTTCTTCACTGAAAGGGTGGTCAGGCATTGGAACAGCCTGCCCAGGGAAGTGGTGGAGTCACCATCCCTGGAAGCATTCTAAAGGAATGTGGATGTGACACTTCGCAAACGTCGTTTAGTGGTGAACATGGTGTTGCTGGCTTAATTGTTGGACTTCATGATCTTTAGAAGTCTCTTCCAACCTAAAAGACCCTCTCATTCTATGATTTGGGAAAAAGTGTATTTTGACCTTACAAAGAAGACTAGGAGTTGAGTCATGCCTTTAATAAGGCATTTCCCTCCATATCAAAATTAAGACAACTGACAGAAAAAATGTAGCAGTAACTATAGCAGTATTTTTGCTTCTATAAAAAAACACCTCAGTTTCTAGTATTTTTCTATGGACAGATTTGTAATACGCTCCCTAAATTTAATAAAGAAGTGAAACATTCTTTCTTTGAATCATTAACTGACCACATCACATTTTAAAAATATCTTTCATATCTCAATTACCAACCTTACTGTTTCACTGTGCTTAGTTTTGACACTGGTAAGAATAAACAGTACAAAAATCAGTAAATATTGTCTACAATCCATATAAATGCCAAATGATCCTTTTCTTTCTTTAGTAGAACATGACTAAAAAAGTATATTGTTGCTGAAGAAAAAGTCTGAATCATTGTTTACAATGCCAATGTATTTTCCTTTCTTACTTCCACTGCTCTTCTAGTTCACAAATTAAGGTTAGGTTCTCTAACAGATCTTCATTCTACAGAAAAGGTATGTACATGTACAGTTCCATACATTACATGTAATACATTTGCAGTTACTTTTATCACATGTGGTTATAGCTAGATGTCTTCATGGTGACTAAATCTGTTTAAAAAGTTACACTATAAACTAAGCCAGCAGCAATTTTTTCTTGTAGGTCTTTTTAAATGTAAGTTTTCAGTGACATATTCTTCTTAAAGCTTACAGAATATAGGTTTTTGTACAAATATGCAATGTTTCCTTACAACAAAGAAGTGTAGTGTAGTGCTATCTGGATTAGGAGCTTCTCTAACTTTCTCACCACTAAACACAGTAATTTGAAATAAGAGCAAATCAAGACCAAGAAGAAAAAATATATTTCCATAGATTCAGACTGTTATCTCCTTATTTTATTAGAGATGAGATAGTACTTGTGCCTTTGTTTTCCTTTAGTTATTAAATTTCAGATCAGTTTAAGCAAAAAACCATTTTAGATATAAGAGATATGGCATCAATGAGAGTTTAATCTAGAAGAGGTCTTAAGGAAGTGGTATGTTTTATGAAATTGAACATACCTAGTTCAATTCGGTGAGAAGAGGGGAGATCCTTGGTTATTGTAATAAAATATCTATGTAACCCTTTGAAAGCAAGCAGCAAAGTGGCACAAAGTGTATAGTGGAAATTATAAGCATGGTTGAGGAAAGACTCTGAAACAACAAAACTGCAACCCTGGAATAAAAAAGAAAAGGCACATATTAATTTTGTGTAATAAATGAAGTGTTAGCAGAATTATTAAAAAGATAAGCCATTGCCTCTCTTCACAAACTTGATCCACATTGTTGTGATTTTCAATGAATTGTAAGACATTAAAAAAGGAGGTCAAACACTTAATACTGTAAGCTTCCCACAAGTACATTGATGAACCAGGTAACGTAGTCTTTTTGAACATTTTTTCTCATTTCCTTTTTCACATGCCACCCCAAAATAACTTTAACAAAGTTAATTCTTTATCAAATCATATTCATGCAGAAAAGATAAAATTCACACCTCCCAACAGAACACAAAATTTTAAACTGATATATAATCTTACGTCTGCTGATAATTGTTTTGTGTAGTTATTGCCAAAGACCACACTTTCAAGAGAAGGAATCACAGAGTCCCTGTTTTGTGCTGGTGCATTCCTGTTCAACCACGTATTCTTCACTGGGCGAGGAAAACTGCAAAGAGTACAAATGAACTGATAATCTGAACATACTGTTCCTCATTACTTCCAATACAAATTTCACTTAAACAATATTCCTGAAAATTTAAGCCAGAAAGATAAATTTTGAACTATAACAGGTATGAAGCATTTATTTTCTGTGGATTTTGCTGTGAGGACTTAACCTCTTAAAAGTGAAGCAGTAGCAGGAAGTTGAAAGCTGTTACACAAACTGACATTGCTGTTTTCCTAAAGGATGCCTGACCTCTGCCTCCTGAGGAGGAGATACTATCCTGAACTCCTGGAAGAACAGAGCATCCTGCAACAGTAGCCTTGTGATAAAAACAAGGAAAGATGAATGAAGAATGAATGAATGAATGAATGAAGAAAGTGAAGACTATTAGATAACAGGCAGAAATAAGCAATTACAGGTTAAAGAAAAGTGTAGATTATACAGGAGTCCAGGGCTGTACCCAAGTAGAATTATCTTCTCTTTCAAGGGAAGTGTTAACACTGGTTGTTCACAACACAAGGTGAATCTGACTGTTGTTCAGAAGAAGAAAACACTCAAAAAGTGACCACCCCTAAGAAAGGAAGAGGTGGCAATAACGTGAGCATGATCCAAACAGAAGACCAAACTGTCACCCATGAAAGCCTAAAGGACAAAGAGGAGTAACATATGCAATTCTCATGTTTTTCAAAAAGAAGAAAAGTGAGCCAGATATGGATACAGCAACCATCAAGTATTTGCTACATGGGGGAGCTCAGCTAAAATAAAACACTGTAGATTTTAGTTTCTTCCTCTTCTCATCATAAAGGACAACTTGTATGCTTATAATAACTTTGTGGACACAGCAACACCCTACTCTCAAGATACCAAAAGCAGTATAGAAGTTGCTGTTTTGTTTCAGTATCTCCTTACACAAACTGTATCAAGCTGAGGTTTAAAATTCAATAGTGTTATTGTGTCATCACTTGAAAAGCCAGGAACTGAGCAAAAATGCATAGAAAACCCCTCAGATTTACTGCAACTTTTTAAAAAGGTCAGTAGGAGCAAATATGTTTCTGACTAAAAATTAGTATCAAAACTTGGTTTTCTGACAGCAAATGATCAATATAGGTTAAATGCCTGAATCTCACTTGTGGGACAGTGTGATCGTGTACATTTTACATACATGATGCTACTTTAAGTGCATTAAAAAATGCATTTAAGTGCATTTATGAGATTAGGTCTTCAACAGCAATTCCCACCTTCTCAGTACTTATTTCTCTCCCAAGTAAGGCTGCGCCATCTCTTCAGACATGTTAGATCATTTACTATATAACCAGGCCTACAACACATCACCAAAACAATTCAAACCAACTTGCATGGGGGGAAAAAAGGACAAAAAA